GGTGGGGGTCACCTGTTTTCAGAGGTAAAATTAGTGAGAAAATGGCCGCCAAAGATTAGTTATTTCCTTAGCTTAATAGTCCATTGTAACAGAATTTTTAATTTTTTTTCCTTTAATCAACGTTTTTCAGAAAAATCCACAAAGACATTAATTCTTTAATGGGCATGAAAGGTGTCGAGCCAAAAAACAAAAATTTGATAAAAGTTCACAAACCTGTGGGAAAATGCAAGTTTCTTCACTTTGATTGTTTTGACGAGAGCCTGTTTCCACCATGCTGCCTCACATTTAGAATGTCTGCCCAATCAAAAAGCTAAAGAATAACAGCCTTTGAATAGCAACAACAACAACACCAACAACTACAATATATGTTTGTGCTCACCAAGTCGTACGAAGACATCTGGGCAACATCTTGGGGCAGTTGTTGTCTCCTCACACTACCACCTTTCAGGATTTCCTCCAGCACGGATAGATAGTTGTTCTCATTCATCAGTTGACCTGAGACAGCCAGAGTGGGCACCACATTGTATGCCTGCACAGTTGAAAAGGAGAAACGGGGAGAGGAGTGAAGATGACACTTTTGAGACACATCAAGTAATGGATAAAATTAAGATATTTAAGATAAAACGAAGTCAGACAAAATCTTAGGATGACATTCACGCTGCATGCAGAAAATTTCACTTGATAAACAACAAGAAATTATGGACATAGAGGAAATGTTGTTCATTTTCATAACAGAGGCAGATCTAGTTGAAATAATATGGGCACTATGCTAACTCAGTTGATATCATGCTGGACTGTGGTGCGGATGGCCCTAGTTCCAAACCCCGCAGGAACGTTTTTGAAATTGGATTGTGTGACGAGTTTTTCAAGGTTCTCCACCCAATTGCCTCAGTCCCGTCAGAGATGGACGTTAAACTCTGAGGTCCTGACTCTTAAAAAAAACAACCTTACAATAATGAAATTGGTCTTAAACTTTTACAAATTCTAACTTCAAGTTCTACATGAGAACATTAAGTTAAAAAGTAACATCCTTACATTTCTGTTTTATAGAACAGATTGGACAGCAAGTCTGTAAAAGTTTTACACATGAGAAATGAGCTCGCTTCTTCTGTAAACAACGTCAAAAACACTTAACCACAAAACCATAATGCTGGTGCAGTTTCTCTAGCTATGTGTTTACCTGGTGGAACCACCCTGTGGGAATAAAAAGCATCTCTCCAGGTCCTTGCTCCACTTCCAAAATGTTGACTTTCTGCAACAACTTCTTCTCATCTTCTGATGGGTTGAAGGCATCAATATGGCTGGAGGGAAAGGAAATAATAGCAATCTCCAGCGCAGAGAGAAACAAAAGGACTGAGACAGATAGGTAAGTAGAAATGGATCAAGTGAAATAGTAGAGCCGTCTCAACTAGCAGAAGTTTGTGAGAAGATATATAGCAATTTTTCCTTTCATTATAAACACTGGGTTTTCTTTGTTGTTTTTTTTCTCTCCAAAAATGTCTATGCCACAAATAATATCTAAATATAATGGTAACAATGTCAGTCATAAACATCATGGCTTTTCAGTAAATTTCTAATAAAACAATAAGCAATGCTCCTTAATAAATGCCTAGCGCCTATTCATAAGATTACAATGGTAAATAAAAGCTACAAAGAAAAAGAAAAAAAGAAAAATAGGAAACCTACATGTATCTTCTTTCATAATCTTGGGAGACAAAAAATAGATAATTTAATCACTAGATGAGTTTGAACCACAAACAGCCAAATGCAGAGAACTACACAAGTTATGACACAACTGTAGTGCAAAAGGAAATCTCAGAACACATTTATAACAACAGTAGGAGTTTTACTTGGGTAAAAAAAGAGTAGAAAAAGAGTACAACACTTAATAAAACATTGCAGGAACATGTTTGTTCTAAAATCTAAAATCCATCTTTAAAATCTACCTCTAAAATCCCACAGGGGATGACTTCAATACACAAAATCCTGGCACACAAAACACTGGGCACCAGAGAAAATGAACAATTACACCAGTGTGACTTCTGTAACGTTCCCACGCTTTCAGCTTGTAAACCCAGGATTGAACAACACATCTTTTTCTGTCATTGTGCAACTGCTTTTTTCTTTTCATTCCTCTCTTAAGTAGAAAGTTTGAACTGTTCTTAAAATAGTCATATGGCTATAAAAATTACAACTTGGTGGAGAAAATTTACATCAATTCCAAAGTGACAAGTTGAAAAAGGCATGAAAGGAAACATTCTTGAAAACGGGTAAGGCAACTACCAGTAACATTTTTTCCGGAAGTCATTTATTAGACTTGACAATAAACAACCCTCCCGACCATTCAAAGTAAAATCTACTATCCATATATCAAACATAATATCAAAAGGACACACAGATTCTTGATCAAGGAACTGGGGACAATTATATTTCATGCAAATTGAATATTATTGTGTATGTATATATATATATATAAGTACAAGGAATGCAATAACAACCGATCTGACGAAATTTTGGTAAAAAAAACAACAACAAAAACAACTGGTGCAGTAGAGAGGACGTACAGACAAAATGAAGGGTGCCTACTAGTGCTAACATATGAATATAGCCATTGGCAGAAAATAAGCCTAGTGTTGTAACAGAGAAGAAGAAAGAAAAAAGAAAGAAAAGGGCTCTAACTTGCGCAGTCTACAGGTGGTGAACACTTACACTCACAGAGCCAAAGATATGGGCAAAATGACTTTTGGCTGTGTTTTAGACGTGGGGGAAAGGTTTCCATTTAAGCTTGCTTTGGGATGGAGAAGAAAAGGTACAGTAAAATTTATTTGAGAAAAAGAGAGAAAAACAACAGTGGGTGAGAAAAGAAGTAGTATCTCCCAGGGATTCCCTCCGATTCTCCACAGAGCGAGAAACAAACAGTACTTTTGTCAATGTTTTGGAGACTAGAGAGAGAAAGGCATGACTTTTTCCGTCTTTTTGTGCACAAATCAACAAAAAAGAATATCAGAACTTTATTGAAAGCAAGGCTAATTAGAGAACTTTGCTTTTATGTCTTTCTTCTTTTTAGGGGGATCAAAAGGGGTTGGGGTGGGGCAAGAAAAGCAGGACACAGTGCTACACACTACATAAAGTTACAATTTAAAAAATGCTCTCCAATTGATACATTTTGGAAACCTATTTTGATTCGGTTAAGAGGAAGATGGGGAAAAGGAAGCGAGGGGGTGGTTGCTGAGGCATTACAACATAAAAACACTTACAGATAACATCAGGGCTCAAATAAGTGAAACAGACATACGCAACACATAATGTCTGACCAGCATCAGACCAACTTTGGCAATGTTGGAGTGCATTTTGTACCACCATACACAGATCAGAAACAAGAATTTGTTTACTTGCGAGTGCCGTACAACTCTTACTACAAAAAGAAAAAAGAACGTATTTACTATATAATATGCATGTTGTTGCATGCCTTTTTAAGTAAAAAAACCCAAAAAAAGCTGTATGAATAATGAACTTACACACTTTTTATAAATAAGTGCCCCAAAACAGCGCATCTTCAAAAATTGTTGGATGACTAGAATGCGTTTTATCAATAAGTTAATGTATTTCAAACAACAATTATTATATTTCAGACGGCACAGAGTAACAACACAACAGCAATAAACTTCTATGGTATGCGATGCCAGGGATACCTATTGTACTTTTGACAATCCAGGGGGAAGCCACAGACCTGGTCTGGGCTGATGGACAGAAACTTGTCCTGTCCAGGTGGAATAAGCTTCACAGAGAAAGGGACAGCATAGGACCATTAAAGTTTCAGTACATCAACAATTCTTTGACTCAAAACACCAGTGTGCCGGCTGGACTATTACAAAGATAACTTCAATGAACTTTTCCATTACATAAATTTTGAAGTCTGACAGGTTATACAGTGAAACTCGGATTTAACGAGCTCGGATTCAACGAGCACTCGGTTTCAACGAGATGAGATAGATTCCCCGTTTTTTTTCTTCTTTAAAATCAATCAAGATTACCCGGATTCAACGAGCACTTAATCAGCGAGCTCGGATTCAACGAGGTCACTTCCAGGGTGAACAGCCCCCGCAGACGTGGCTTCGCCCATTTTTCTCCCAGAACGAACTTTATCTATTTCCAGAAACCAGCCATTCCAGCTGCATCGTGAACCATTATTCACTTAGCCGATTGCATACGACCAATCAGCGGCCTTTTTTCATACCATGTTACCAACACATGCGTTGTTGGTGCACGCACGTGTCTACTCTGGCGTGTGTCGGGGTCGGATGGGCGGCCTGCACATGTGTGGCTATGTGTGCGAGTCGGGGAGGGGCGGCACTAGCGGTCCAGGCGTTGAACATCGCAGATACAAACGCGTCACAGTCTTTTTTTCTCCATCGGCAACTGATCATTATTACAATGATAAGCAAGTCTTGACGTAGATCTATGTACTGACCTGTGCGCTGGTCTATGGAATCAAAAGTTGGCGTATGCTAGGCTCTACTCAGCAACACAACTTTTTGGTGAACAATCGAGATGACACAGGCGTGTGCATTTGAACGAATCTGTCTTTTTTTTTACACAGCTCATAATATGCAAGCATTTCAGGCACTACTTGTGACTTCTCTTTATACATTAGGGCCTACTTGCTCAGTGCCTACACAAAACCTTGTGTTTGCTAAAACGAACACTCGGATTAAACGAGATTTTAGCTCAGGCCCGGCGACCTCGTTGAATACGAGTTCCACTGTATATAATTGATGAAACAAAAGTTGATTTTAGATCAGATTAATCAAGATAACTTGGTGACTTTTAACTGTTATGTGACAGCTAAAGTAAACTATTAGCATATGTTGAACATCAAGCACCAAGATATCATCCACCTGTATTATGTACATATTTAAAACTCAGCCAATTCTGGCAATGGTGCGGATATAAGGAATGCCCAGGAGAGGATTTAATAACTGCATTACTATAGTTTTGAACAGGAAACTGATGAAAGATACAAAATTTGAGATAATGAACAAGTAGGAATCACATAAATCATTTATTCTAAGGGGACCATAAAGTGGACCTGAAACCACTCCATCATGGTTTACAAAAATAGGGCACAGTAAATGTTGAAGAAAAAAATGCATGTTACTAAGAGGTTAAGCTGCTTGCCAATAACTTGGCCTGATGATCAGCAAGAAAAAAATGCATAGTTCCTATCCGGGAGAAGTTTTATTAACAATCAGAAATCTCTGATAGAAATGAAAAATTAGAAGATGTGGACCACTTTACATACTCAGACTTGGATATCTATCAACATCATGCTAACATTTGACAAATTGTTAACATCAGAATTGGCAAAGCTTCCATGACCATGAACAAGCTATCAAAAAGCCTTAATATCAAAACCAAGACAAAGTAATAAAATGGGCATTCTCAGCACAACGATTTACAAAAGCAAGGCCTGGACTCTGGACTCACATCAGGGGAAAAAACTCATGTGCTTCTTTGTATCTAAAACAAGTACATAATGAAATTTGTAGACCTACAAAATCAAACGATTTCTGCATCATTGATTTCGCTACATGCATGCTACAGACTGTATTAAAAGACATCCTCTATGGAGAAATAGAAATTGACAGAAGAAAAAAAAATCAATAAAGATACAAAGAAGCCTGCAAGACATGACCTGAACAGTAGCCAGCATTACATCCTGGAAACTGATGGCACAACATTGCAGCCAATGGAAAAGGGAGGCCAAGACCAGTCTCAAGATGAAGGAGAAGGAAGCAGTAGTGGTATATGTGCAACACCTGAAGGAACATTGGATGATGCACCAGACAACAAACATTCCCTTGCACTCACTCCACCTGCCATTTCCTGTCCTGCATCGGTCTAATTAGCAATATATACAACCACCATAGGAAAGGAAAGAAACACAGACCAGTTGATACCCCTATCATCTGTAATGATAAAGCAGTGCCAACTAAACAGGACAAATTTTATACAAGAAAGACAACTCAGCAAATCAAAGTAGAAATTTGAATCATTCTGTTTTAGAGAAGTCTGAGCATTCAGTCACCAGTAAACCATTGTTTTCATTATTCTTCTCATATCTTTCAGGAAGTTAATCAGTCCGTGTTCACATATGACGAATCACATAGAACCCCAGTCGCACCACAAAATTCTCTTACAAAGCCTACCTTCCATTTCTTGTGTCCAAAGATGACCGCATTGGTGCCTGTCCAGTTGTAGGGGTCAATGTGCAAGGTGGAGCGAGAGTATGCAGTGCCCCACAGCAACATACAATCCCAGGGTTGTACGGCCGGTGGGAACAAATCAAACAAGTTGCTTTCTGTGTACACCTGTTGGGTTAGAAGATAGAGAGCAGTCACATAGGATGAAAAAATTGGACAACTTGGACCACAGAAGAAGAAACAAAAATAAAAAAGTGAAACTGTCACTGTTTCTTTGACAATGGTGATCGTGACGGACTTTATCTTTTCTTTTATGCCTTTATTCTAATGAGGAAGGAGTGCCTACACATTTGTCTTCCTATTTAATTGTAAGTTGTTGATCTTTGATACTGTAGGTTAAATTTAGATCAGTAGAGCTTGCGATGTCACATGACCCTTGTTAAATTATTATACAAATGGTGGAAAGATGAACATTAACTGCTTGTGACTAATAATATCAAGCATTTTCTAATAGTTCTCTTTTAGCTTGAGTTTTTCATCTTACTAAAAAAATAGCTACTTTCAACAAAAAACACACTACAGAGATTAGAAAGACATGTGTTACACTCCTCAGATCTATGGCAGAGGGCGTAAAAATTACTTTTTCTTTTGCTGATACAGGGAGTGTCTTATGATAGAAACTTCAAACAGTCTGAGGCGTACGAAAAGAGTGAAAGAATGACCTTTAGTTTTGTACATTGCATGTTGGTCTTATCAAATTTAGGACAGCCTGGACATATGTAGTGTTCCTAACTTTTGTCTCCGAATATTTTTTCAGAATTAATTTTGTTCAGTCAAAACGGAGCACATATTGAGCTATAACTTCTTGCTAATTTAAACTACAGCAGTATTTCATACCTCTTTAGAACAGGAAATGTGCCAAAATATCAATCAAATTGTAATACATGACAATAGTACAGACTGAAGACAAATGGCGCAAAAAGTATGAAATTTACGATCCACCAACAAAGTAAGAATATAAATTACTAATGAATTGGGTTGTTTTTTTTAATGTGTAATTTATTCAACTTACATTCACTTTAATGTGCATGCCGCTTTTCATTGTAAAAAAAAATTATTATTCGCAAAGTTACAGCTGTTTTTGTGCAATCAGCTGAGCTTGGAAACTGTTACCACACAGCCAAACTGGAACAATTGAAAAATGAGTCTTTTTAATTAAGTTATCAACTAACCAATTGAACAGACCCCTCTAAGAATAAATCTGGCATAGATAGAATACTAGTCATATCTTCAACATACTGTGAGTTATTTTCGGTGTCTATGTGAAAGAAAACTATCCCATTTTTATCGTCCGGTGACACCAGCCACTTGGCAAAACTGAAAATAGCACTGGCCACGAGTTAAAACTTGTAAAAAGGCTCATGGCGTGATACCCAGGATACCGACTGAGTCAAAAAGTCATGTAGAAAAGCATTGAGTTATTAGTTAATGAAACTGAGATCAAACATAGTGCCTCTATCACTATCACATACCGATTTAAGAATTTGTCTCCTAAGCTCTGGTCGTTGAAGTAAAAAAAGTTCATCCTGTAGATACGTCCAAGAAGCTGGCGAGCTCTCTGTGATGTGCGACAGGTACGAGCGCAAGGGAAGGGCAAGAGTTTCAATCCTTTTACCCTGGGAAAAAGAGTTGGTTGGATGATAATGTGTCATCATATTTATTAAATCCGTTGAAACAGTACATCCCAGCTCACAGTTAAAGATCATCCGCTGACAAAAACAAATCATGATTACCATCAATAAAATTGAAATCAGTGGGTTAAAGGGCATTTTTTCATTTTACAGTCCCAAAAATCTGGAGGTCAAATCCTTCAATGCAATCAAAAGTCAACTCAAGTCATTTCTGTTTTGAAATCAAATGGATACATCCAGATTTTACATCAGGACACACTGCGCAGTTAACATGTTGTTGCTCAGAATCTAAGCTATTGAATTGCAGTTCTTGAGCGTTATTATTATTATTATGAGAGGTGAAGGAAATGAGCATAGTTGGAGGAACTCACATAACTAAAGGGTTTCAAACACACATTATACAGTCAAACCTGCCCTGACGGCCACCTCTATAAGACGGCCACCTGTACAAACGACCATTTTCCATTTCCCCCCTTGCGCTTTTTCTATATAATTTAACTGTGTAAAACGGGCACCTGTCCAACGCGACCGCGGCCACCATATTTTAACACACAAACCCTATCACACAGAGCAATAAAACCTGTCTTAGACGGCCACCTCAGTGACTCCATTACGTTTTGTCATAAATTTTGTGCATTGGCCCCTGGCATTGTGGGCGAGCTGTCATAATTCAATCACATGTCGTTGTTGTTAGGTAGTCCCTCCAACCGATCATGTTGCGTAGGCCCCTCCCACTGTTGACCAATAGCTACCAATTTTCAGCTGCTGGTGAGGTAAGCGTGTGATCCCTCAAAACCCATAAGCCCCGCCCAGAACTCATACACAAATCGTAAGTGAGATGAGTGGTCACTGTTTACCCAGTCTGTAACAAAGTAACAAAGGACGTCAAAATGAACTTGGGACAGAAGCGTCGCTCATTCTCGGAGTGGTGGCGACCCATGTGTTTGTTTTAACATGGTACTCGGTCTTCCTCGTCTGATACATTTCGTTTTATTGTCACCCTTGTGCAAAATCAGCAACAAAATAAAAATTACAAAACAAAATACAAACCACCACCACCAACAACAAAAACATCAACAACGCAGCTGCTTTCGATTGGGACCTCAGATGGGAATGGTTCATTTTCTTCATTTTGATCAGTCCTGCCTAAGACGGCCACCTGTCTTATACGGCCATTTTTCTCCTTGACAATGGGTGGCCGTCTTACACAGGTTTGACTGTAGTTTTATAGAACTATGGAACTATGATCCGCTCAGTTTTTCTCTTATTTGTTGCAAAGTTGTTCAGGCCGACTGTGTATGTTGTTCTTTTTCTTCTTCTGCTCTTCTTTCCCTCTATCATTTTACACAGAAGCAGTTTCTCTAGTCCTTTTGATCTATTTACGAGGCCAACGAATCTCAATAGTTTGTTTCTGATGGTTCTGCTTTCATAACCTGCCATTGTGGCATTTTTCCGTTTGTTTTTCATAAATTAAGTATTCTTAAATACCACATTTCAGAGGCCTCCAAGTCTTTTCTTTGTGTCTTTGTTTAGAGTCCAGCTTTCACATTCATACAAAAGGAATGACCATGCAAATGCTTTCAGGGTTCTTAGTCTTATTTTTGGGTTCATTTTTATGTGTTTCTCTCTGTCTGTTTAGAGTCAAGCTCTCGCCTTCATTCAAAAGGATTGACTCTATGCGTATGCTTTCAGGGTTCATATTATTGTGTTCACTGTTATTTTTCTATTTGAGAGGACAGGTTTCATCTTGCTGGAAGTTTCTTTATGTATAATACTCTCTGCTTCATTGATAGGGACTGGTGCAGGTATACACCCATCAACTTTTGTCAAATTTGGTCAGTAAATAAGAAAGCCTTTGGGATTTGAAATTTTAATTATTTATTTTCAAGATGGCGCCGTTTCCATAGTCAATCCTTGTAGCGATGCAAATATAAAAGAACAGTCAAACCTGTGTAAGACGGCCACCCATTGTCAAGGAGAAAAGTGGCCGTATAAGACAGGTGGTCGTCTAAGGCAGGAATTATCAAGATGAAGAAAATAAACCATTCCCATCTGAGGTCCCAATCGAAAGTAGCCGCATTGTTGTTGATTTTGTTGTTGTTGTTGGTGGTGGTGGTTTGTATTTTGTTTCTAAATTTTTGTTGCTGCTGATTTTGCACAAGGGTGACAATAAAACGAAATGTATCAGACGAGGAAGACCGAATGCCATATTAAAACAAACACATGGGTCGCCACCACTCGAAGAACGAGCGACGCTTCTGTCACAAGTTCATGTTGACGTCCTTTGTTACTTTGTTACAGACTGGGTAAACAGTGACCACTGAGAAAACCTAGGTTATGAGGGATCACACGCTTACCTCACCAGCAGTTGAAAATTGGTAGCGATTGGTCGACAGTGGGAGGGGCCAACGCAATATGATCGGTTGGAGGGACTACCTAACAACAACGACAGGTAATTGAACTATGACGGCTCGCCCACAACGCCCGGGGCCAATGCACAATTTATGACAAAACGTAATGGAGTCACTAAAGTGGCCGTCTAAGACAGGTGTTATTGCTTAGTGTGATAGGGGTTGTGTGTTAAAATATGGTGGCCGCGGCCGAGTTGGACAGGTGTCCGTTTTACACAGTTAAATTATATATATAGACAAAACGCAAGGGGGGAAATGGAAAGTGGCCGTTTGTACAGGTGGCCGTCAGGGCAGGTTTGACTGTATTCACCAAGAGATTTTTCTATGCCTAATATATGTGTATACATTTGATCTCGGGCAACAAACCTATGGACTTCAAGGGTGGCTGCTCCCATTTTATACATACACAACTGACAAACTTACAGTGGTAGCTTTCATGACAACTTGCTCTTCCCCATAATTTTGTAGAAAATACTGGGTTGTCCAGTTAGTGGCAGGCCATGAAGGTACAACATCTGTAATGATCACGGGCCTGGAGTAAAAGCAAAACAAAAGGTCAGATAAAATAAAGTCATGAATGATTGTCCCAAAACTAATATGAAAGCAGACAATTCAATATGAAACATGATATTAAATTAAAACATTTTGGAGACACTTGACTAAAAAGACATTTCATCTTTAAACATTGTTTGAAATAAGTATAATATTCACTCTGATGTCATGTGTACACCTACTCTTTTGGGAAAATACGGAAGTTTAAAATTGATTTAAAATGCTGTAGGCCTACACTGGTAAACGGCACTGATAAAGTGCAAATACCAAAAAAAAATCATGACATAAAAAAATGGCATGTGACATTATATATAGTTTTTTAATCCACTTTTATATCGACAGTAGATGTATCAACATTTTCAAATTACGAAATATTTCCTTCATATATATCTTCACTAACCTATTTCTCTTTTATTATGTCGACTTTTTTTCAGCCCACTTTGTTTTATCGACATGCTTCCTGGGTACCTTGCGAAGCCCATGAATATAAATGGGGGGAAAAGCCACGCTAACAGTCAACGCATTAGTTCTTCATTAAGTCCGCATACCCGCCAAATGTCATGATATTCGATACTTCTACTCGATTATAGTGAAGATGTTCGATACGAAAATATGAAATCAATATGGCTGAATGTTATTATCGTCTTGTGCTTGTCTGACTTAGATCAAATATCAAGAATACATAACATCATAACACCAAGTAGTCTGTAATTATATCGACACACCAGGCTTTAGTAGGTCATGTAGGGTCTACACATTGTAGTCTCCAACCCAACATAGTACAGTGCCTTGCTCACAGATGTGAGCGTTTCGCGAGCTGGGCATCACCTCCCTATCCCCACTCCCGATCGCTCACTCCCCATCCCATTCTCAGTGTCGGTCACTGGCAAGTCGTGCCTTGCCTTTCCATTTTCCCCTGCAAGCGGCCATAAACAGGCCTTACAAGGATGCCACAACAAAGTTTGCGTTGGTGTATAGTGCGCGCCTCGTGTTGCTTGGTCTTTGGTACCGTAACTCCAATCCCCCTCCCCTCCGCCTCTTGTTAGTTTCACTGTGTAGTTGAATAAGAATCAAGGGAAACAACCAGCTTTAAAAACTAGTGTTGTCTTTTTACTGCTGACCTCTCCTTATTTTTGCCTCTTTGGCTTTATATTTTCATTTATCGACATATTTATATATCGACATCAAATCTACTTCCCAAAGCATGTCGATGTAAGCGGATTATACTGTGTATATCTGAGCCAAATATATATCTGTCTGCCCCGCTCAATATCAGCCGTAAGACACACTGTGCTATTATCAGCTACGAGGCTCGAAAGGCAAAAAGGTGACTTTCCATGAAATTTTTGTTTTTTGGATATATTGAAAGTTTGATGTCTTCTGCTTCATTGGTGAATGAATAGTCTTCTACTTTTGTATGTTACCTTGTAGTACAGATGGATCCTGCTCGCCAAATCTGAGAGCGGCGATTCATGATTCAGTCGGCTTCAAAGAACTGCGAGTACGCGAGTGATCGTGGAACTGGGGCGGAACACTGACTGAAACGGAACAGTGTTATATCAATGCCACTTGGCGAGCACGACTCCCACTCTTGTTGTCCCCGCCATCCTCTCCACCCCCCGCCCCCCACCCTACGTTGCGCTGCTCTATCTACTGCAGGACCTCAATGAGCGACCCCCATAAATTCATCCCCCCACCCCATGATTCGCTAAAACAATGGCTCCATAAAATTCCTTCTATCTATTGGTTGGACCCCGTTCATTTTGTTTTAATAGGGGGGTTGGACTATACCATCTTTTGTAAAATAAGGGGAGCCATACTAAGAGTTTTGTTCCGTTCTTGCGCTCGCGACTCGACTCAGCCAGGGCCGCGTTGCCCGTAAGGCTGTTTAGGCTGTAGCCTAGGGCCCCGCGCCTCAGGGGGCCCCGCGCTTTCAAACACGACGTTTAAAAAAGTTTTTCAACAACAAAAAAATTGTCCTCTTGTTGAATTGTTGTTGTAGTTTGTATTGCTGTTGTAAACTGAATGTAATTAACTAAGCCGCTGTTCAAAACTTAGATGCTTTGGATTTCAAGACATCAAAGCGTGAATACAAAGATTATTCTCGGTATCTCCAAAGATCCATTTTTATAGACAGCTTGAAAACGGAGAAAACGTAAGAAGAGACTGGATATATTATTCAGAGTCGACGAGGAAAGTATTTGGTTAGTGTTGTAAATTATTCAGCTCCACCGGTGAGACTGCTTTCACTTCAGGATTCAACGACTGGAAAAACGTTATATAGAGCGATTGTCCTTGCCTGAAAACAGTGATACTCATCGCAAAACTGTAAATGACTTCTATGTGTTTGGAAAACAAAGTAGGGTGTTAGACAACTCTTTCGTCTCACAATTGAAAATAGAGGTTGAATACTGGCGTCAGGTTTTGGGAAGAGTGGTGTCTGTTGTGAAATTTTTGTGCGAAAGAGGACTCCCTCTACGTGGTTATGACCAACAATTTGGATCTGCACATAACGGTAACTTTCTTGGATTGTTAGAATTGATGGCTACGTTTGATCCATTTCTAGCAGATCATATTGCGCGGCATGGCAACAAAGGACGTGGGCACGCGTCATATTTATCATCTACTATTTTCGATGAGTTTGTAGAAGTGTTGACCGCCAAAGTAAGATCAGTCATCTTTGAAGAGGTCAAAGAGGCAAAGTACTACAGCATTAGTGTCGATTCCACCCCAGACATAACCCACACCAAACAACTGACATTCATTCTTCTTTACATCAGTAAAGCTGGTCTACCTGTAGAGAGATGTATAACCTTCATCCCAATAGAAGCACACGATGCAGAGTCTCTCACGTCAGAAATTTTGACAGCTTTGGACAAATTTGGAATGGAGCTTCGAAACTGCCGTGGTCAAAGCTACGATAATGCTAGTAACATGGCAGGACGCCTCAGTGATGTACAAGCCCGTATCAAAGAGATGACTCCCAAGGCTTCCTTTGTCCCCTGCTCGGCTCATTCTCTAAATCTGGTTAGTGTTTGATGATTGATTGATTGGGTAGATGTTTTACGGCACTATCGACAGGTTAGTGTTTGAGCAGCTGAATGTTGCATAGACGCAGCATCATTTTTCAGATTCGTACAGGCATTGTACAACTTCCTTTCAAGCTCCACACATCGTTGGGGCTTGTTTGTAAAACGTATCGATGACCCTACACCCAAATCATTGTCAGGAACTAGATGGTCTGCCCAACATGATGCAACAGTAGCATTAATATCCAACTACAAAAAGATTATATCATTACTGCTTGACATCTCTCGTGACATGAAAGAATCTCCCCAAACGCGTGATGAGGCGTCATCCTTGCACAACAAGATGGAAAATTTTGAATTTGCTGTGCTGTATGTGTTTGGGAACAAGGTCTGGCACGCTTTAACACTGCCAACAAAACACTTCAGAAACCATCACTCAACCTGGGAGTCGTACACATGTTGTACGATTCTCTAACTGCTTATTTAATAGGACTTCGGGACGATTTCGAGCGAATCGAACAATCAGCCACACCTTTCGTCGAAGAGCCTTCCCAATACAAACGCATATTGCAAAACGCAAGCGCTTCCACGACGAAACGAAAGATGTTGAAGCTGTTTTGTTGCACCAGGAGCAGTTTAGAATAAACACCTTCCTTGTCATTGTTGCCTGCCTTTTGTCTGAGCTTGAAAAGCGAGGAGACATAATACAAGACTCTGGCTCAAGATTTTGACAATCTCTTTAATCTTCACAAGAAGCCTGCCACAAGCATTTGAGACACGTCACAATTCTCGCATTCAGCAGCAATATGAGGACGACCTAGAGCAATCATTTCCTGACCAACTTGTGTCGTATTCAGGATATGTCAACTCAGCATTTCAGTCTGAGGATACACTTTCTCCTCCCCGGCTCCTTCAAGATCTGCGCGAAAGTGGTGCAACAACAGCTTTCCCAAATGTAGAGATCGCACTGAGGCTCTTTCTCACCATGCCTATCGCCAACGTAGAGGGTGAAAGATCCTTCTCCGTACTGAAACAAGTGAAAAGTAGACTGAGTCTAACGATGGGACAAGAGAAACTAAGCGGCTTAGCTCTCTTGACGATTGAATCTGAAACGACCAAATCTCTAGACTTTGAGGACATCATCGAGGCAAAAAGCCAGGAGAAAAATATAAGGTATGAGTTTTTATAATCTGTTGTGTATGTGTTTAGATGAAGTAATCCACCACGAAGCAAACAAGCACAGATAGGTTTCGGCTGCCTCATACTATGTAACAAAAATAGATCTATAAATGTGCTTGTCGTCGTCTTAATCCACATTATTGGTGGATACCGGTAGGCCTACATCTAATCACGTTTTACAGTATAGCTTCCCATCAGTACGGGTTACAATGTGGTAGTAGTAGTAAGCATCAACGTCATCGAGGGGCCCCGCGGCTCAAGGACAGCCTAGGGCCCCGCACTTAGTTAACGCGGCCCTGGACTCAGCAATAGGTTACAAAAACATAATACGGGGTGCCCACTACAGCTGGATCGGGCCGATCGCCTGATTCGATCGCTTGAAACTGAAAACAAACACGTTTGTTTTTGAGGTGATTGGGTCGGGCGATCAGCCCGATCACATCCATAGTGGGCACCCCTGTATAAGCTGCAAGGTGGTGACAGCGACAGGGGAGTGAATTGGGAATCGGAAGGCGATACTGTTCTGCGTTCCGCCCGCTGAGGTGAATCGTGAATCGTGTTTCTCAGGCAAGATTGGCGATTCAGTTCTCTTCTCGCGCTCGCGACCCAGCTTTATTGGCATTGCCAAGATAACTGCTAAATTCCAAGTCTTTATCTCAATTCTAAGACCCCCATGGCAACGGAAACATGTTGCTCAACTTCGGAGGCCATTTTCTCCTTTTCGTGTTTCCTCACCTCGCACAATTAAAAGTTCTGTATTTTCGTCTTCAAATATAGTCACATTTACTTCTTTACTTTTGTTTTAAATTGTAGGGAAAAGGTGAAGTTTTTGAAAATAAAGTTGAGTCAGTTTTGAAAATTCCTTCATACGACTGATGTAATTGATCGTCAGGGACACATTATAATATCAATAGCAATTGTTGGGTATAATCTGAATAAATATTTATAATTTCAAGTAATCTGACAAAGAAACCCACACAATGTTACACTATTTACTGAATAATACAAATACAAATACATATATATGGGTCTCAACTCAGAACTTTCAGCGTGATTGTGGCAGGAGACCATATTTTCTAAAGACATCCATTATTATTTTTTAATACATACTGTCTTACTCTAGAAAGCAATAAAAACCATCAATTTATCAAAGCAAAGTTTTATTCCATGCCAACTCAAGGGTTTGAAAGATAATTTCAAATATAAAAGGGTCATTTACCAAATTCTTGATAATTGATTAGGTACAGAAAGTGGTGCTTTTGCGGAGGAAATGGCGGTATCGGAAATCCGCTAAATAGCGGAACATTGAGACCCATGATAATAATACGAATACTGCACATGGCACACTGATACTCAATTATCAGTTTTAAAATAATATTTTTAGGGTATTTCATTACAAAAACTATATGTATTTAAAACTATTCTTTACACAAAATTGGCTCACCATTTTCCGTCATAAACATCCAGGAATTCTTTCTGAGACAAATTACTCCTTTTGTCCACCCCATTCAAGTTGTATGGGTAAGCATATTTCTTTGTATTTTGAGCTCTAATGGTCAAAATATCGTTAAAGTCCAATGTAAAAGAAGAATGTAATTTGGAATGCCGAGCATTAACAGCTGCCTTCACACATACAGAATCCTTCAAAAGCAACATTCCTGACTTAGGTTGTTTGAAATGCAAAACGGAAAACGATACAAGTCCAATCACAACTGATGATATTAAAACTATTTGCCAAGCAGAAAATGCCATTTTAACTTTATCAGCTTGTAGAGGCTTACATTAATTAAGCAGTAAGCAGAGAACTAATCCGATCAAGATCTACTCTTCGCTGCATAAAAAAGACACATTATAAGGCATGCAAGTGCAAGACATCGTCTTAGAACAAATGAAGTTCATTATAGCAGATGGGCTAGACGTGAATCACGAACACCAGCAGAGCTCAAATGTGACCAATATTTCTTGATCTCGGCTTTCGAATTCCTTTCCATTTCTCAATCGCAGAATTTAACATTCTGCCTAAAGCTTTGCTGCAGGGCAATATGTAGAAGTTCAAACAGCCCCGAGTCGACTTTGGATTAGAACCATAGTTTTCCTTTGTTTGGAATGGTGATGCTTCCATCTCCTAACAACAATACACTTTATCAAAGTAGGAGCCTAGGCCTATTATTTTGACTTTGAGACTTTCTTGTGAAGTGGATGACTTGGCTTCAACACGTCGTTTTTCACAAGGCGGGCACAAAGTCAAAGCAAAGGTTCCTGCATGTAGCCTAGGCTAGATTAGCCTAGATTCTAGATTATCTTCTCGATCTAGAGTGACAAACTACAAGTCTACAACAAAACTGAGTGATGTCGAAGGATGCAGAAATCAATAGATCTAGATCTAGACTCTTATTCAAAACAGTTTCCATTAGTCATAGGCAAACAACATTCTGTAAAAATATATCTCTCTGTCTCAATCGCTCTGCAATTCGACTGCTGGAAATGAGAAAGTATTCAGAGTAGGCGTTCTTGAAAATTGTCAGAATAGCTGTACACAAGAGTGATCTCCCTTACGTACACAGAACTCAAAACACAAACAAACCTCTGTCGACTGTCGAGTCGTAAAGCTGTAAATTTAAGTTAAGTTGAACAGTTTGGGAAGTGTTTTATACCACGACTTTGACTTAAAGGGGAATTTCGAAAACGATGCCGATGCTTAGGCTTTACAAAGCATCATCCTTAGACAAAAGCTGTAATGTGTACAGCCATCTGCTTTCCAGAGAGTACACCACAGTTTCAAATCACCGGCGCGTACACCATGTGATGGGAACTCTCACCACCCGGGTGAGTCCCACGAGCTCGGACCGCTAAAATTTGCATTTTATTACATATAGCCCATGTTCCATATCTAGGCTCTACAGCGTTCTCTATTCATTTTACAACATCTAGATCTAGATCTATTTTTACCCCCCAGCAGACCCTAGAGACAGACATTCTGGACTTCCTCGGCCAACAGTGTGTTACTGTTAGCTGCAGAGCTGCAGGTTACACACACACACTCGCAACATCTAGATCTAGGCTTATTAAAACGAAGTGACTATTTCTCCGAACGCTCGGGAAAATAAAGTTGAACTCTATTTCTCCGAACGGTTTCTGATCTCGAGATTTTTTAGTTCGGAGTGTCTACGTACACGGTAACCGGGCACGTAGCCTCAGGGTCTACGGACACAGTAACCGGGCACGTAGCCTCAGGGTCTATGATAGTTTATGTACACGGTTACCGGGCATGTATGCTAGCCTCAGTGTCTAAGAACACGGTAACCGGCAACCGGGCGTGTAGTCTCAATGTCACACAACAAGGTAACAGTAAACTGAGCGTGTAGTAGCCTCAATATCTTGTTTTGTTTTTTGTTTTTGTAAAGTGTATTACAGCGCTCGCAACTGCATAAGGTCATATATGAGCGCGCGGGACACACCTAATATTTTCAGTTGGTAGGAAATTTTGAACTTTGCCCGGGTGGCGGCCAAAGCCTACTCTTTTATCGATTTTAGACCACCAAGGGATCTTTAACGTTCGCAACTTGCACACGGGCCCACCGAGATTTTTCAACCATGTCCGAGAAGGCTAGGTGTAGATCTTTCTTACCAGAAGATCAGGGGTGTGGCAAAAAGACAGCAGTAAGGAGTAGCCAAGGAGTAACAGTAGAAAGGCTGCAGAAAGAGTAAGGAGCCCGGAGGAGGGGGCAAAGGAGGTGAGGGGGTTGGGGCAGATAGTGGAAATGAAAGCAGACAACAGAACATTGCCAGAGAGCAGGAAAGGAGGTGAAAGGAGACAATTTTAGAGAAGAAAATGTTTTGGTCGCTACCCGGATTCGAACCCGGGACCTTTGAATTAGAGGCCAACACCTTAACCTCTAGGCCACGAAAGCCCCCGCCTCAATATCTACGTACACGGTAACCGGCAACCGGGCGCGTAGCCTCAATATCTACGTACACGGTAACCGGCAACCGGGCACCTCTCATTATCTACGAACACGGTAACCCGGTATTTTGTTTCGTGGGTGGGGGGGGGGGTACTTTTTCGGTAGTTCCCACCCCCCTTATTTGAGCCTGACCTACTTTTAGATCTAGATCTATAGATACGTTTGATTCGCGGTGGGCTAAGATCAAACCTAACAACAGCAAAACATTAAATAGTGGTAAAATTCAGGGGGGCATGAAAACCCCCCTTTCTATTTTTGTTAGGTCAGGGGGGCAAGCCGCCCTGAAAACCCCCTACTCTTGGGGCCAAAACCCGTGAATACAATTGCGGGGTGGGAACTACCGAAAAAGCGCCGGGGGGGGGGGGCTTCAGCTAGGTGCTCGGTAACTGCTTCGCTCCCTTCACGACCTTGACCTTTTTCCTTTTTCTCTCCGCTTTTTGTGTGTTGTGAGCGGAATGTAATCCCAAAAATGATCCCAATCTACTCCCTGTCATCTTTCCTAAGGGAGAGCAAAATTTAATGCAGTGACACTGAAAATCTTACTTAGCAGAGAGCTGGAGTAGTAATCAAAATTCTAAACATTACATTAAACATATATTTGCTTCCAGTTTCAGTTGTTTCTTTTTGTCCTCTGGTGTTGCATTCAGCCCTCCCCCCATCCCCGAGTGCGTCTCTAAAAAAATCAATAATCTCCCCTCCTTCCTGAGTCCTGTACTTGGAAGCGCTCAGAACACGTGCAGGTTCATCGATCGGTCACAATGGCGAGCGCGACGAGACACTTGTATAAAACTTTCTTTTCTTTATGTTGCCCCCCTGCAAGTGACAAATATTGATTTATTTTCATGGCGACACCACGTTTGTAATGCTGAACCTTCATGTTACAATGATTGTTGTGTTATCAGACAATTACTGACAAATTTCTAGGGGGTAACGAAAGCGAAAGTAAAGGCTTACTAGACACTCTGTTATGAAATTTAGTGGGTATATAGAGCGGTTGACACTAGTGCGTCCTCTTCGAAAAAGCGCAAACTTTGCGAACAGAGTTACCCTACTTGTGTGAAAAACAATAAAAGTGACACTCTTTTTGGCTGAGTAAACTATCTCTTGGACCCTCCGGTTACTGTGTACGTAGACCCTGAGGCTACGCGCCCGTTTACCGTGTACGTAGACACTCCGATTTTGGTTACCTGCGAGATTTAGGCATCATCCTTTCGTTCTGCCATTCTGCGAGGACTGAGAGGAAGCATTTTGTGCATTGGATTCATCTAGAGCTATAGATTTTTAAATGTCTGAATATTCAGATACTTCAGTTTAGGTTGGGCTATACTTCATTTGAAAAAAACTGCAAGAAAACAAAACTGCTCAACGTTGACAGTAACAGTAACCTATTTTGCATTTGATTTAGTCACCCAGCAGAAACTAGAATCTTTCATTTTAAAAAAAATCCCTCCCCCCCCCGTTCACACCTTACAACCTTACACACTCACACACACACACATACACACATTCTCTCTTTCTCTCTCTCTCTCTCTCTCTCTCTCTCTCTCTCTCTCTCTCTCTCTCTCTCTCTCTCTCTCTCTCTCTCTCTCTCTCTCTCTCTCTTTCTCACACATACACACACACACAAACACACACACACACACACACACACACAGGCCACTCCATTCGCTTATTATCAACAAATCTCGAGAACGGAAACCGGAGAAATAAAGTTCAAGTTTATTTTCCCGAATGTTCGGAGAAATAGAGCCGGCCCTATTAAAAACGAACTGACAAGATCTTTTACTGTCTAGCTGGGTACCCATTCCCACTTGGGCACTCTTCGGGAGAAGAGGTCCCGGCCTAATTCCATAGATTTATGAATCGAAGTGGCTAGCCGTACTTAAGTACGGCTAGCCTGAGAGTCTAGCCGTACCTAAGTATGGCTAGACTGCCAGTCTAGTCGTACTTAGATCTAGGTTTGGCCCTATCGACTCAAACCTGTTAAGTACACAGGTCTCATTAGATCTAGATCTAGTAATTATTCAGGTTCAAATACATGCAAGTCAGTAGGCACCTTTTGGTTTTGTCTGAAATACACTTTGTCTGAAATACACTTTAGGCATTGCAAACTAAAAATTTCATTTACAATTCAGCCATCAATATATTAAGTACGGCTAGCCTGACAGTCTAGCCGTCCTTAAGTACGGCTAGCCTGCCTGTCTACCCGTACTTAAGTACGGCTAGCCAAGAAGTCTAGCCAGACTGCCAGTCTAGCCATACTTATATTAGGCCCTATTAACATTAGAAAACAGGAGGTTTAAAATGCATGCACTGTCATTAAGGCACCTGGTTTCGTCTCAAATACAAATACTTTAGGTACTGCAAACTAAAAATGTATATTTTACAATTCAGTAGGCCTATTTTTTTTTATGGTCAGTCTAGCCATCATATTAAGAATAAGTATGGCTAGCCCAGCTAGCTGCCAGTCTAGGCGTCATTAAGTATGGCTAGCCTCTTCCTTTATGTAGCCTTTACTATACAAAATCGGAAACAAAAACGGAAGTCAAGTAAAAAAGCTTTAAAAGTTGCCAGGGTGAAAAGGCCACCGATAAATTTATAGAAAGGGTCCAAACCCATTTTACACTATTTTTCGGCACTATTTTGACGTTTTTTAATGGGAAGTGGCTATCCTCACGGGGGTGAGAATAAAAATACGATTGGCCTCTCACCCCGGTTGAGACTTGTCACCGTTGGCTATTCTCACCCGGTGTGAAACAAGACCTGTTTTTCATAATTTCAGAATACTTTCTATCGGTGTAGATGATCAAATGGATAAAGGCAAAGAAAAAATTACGTTATAGCACAAAAGTAAGCCAATTTGATGGTCTACAAAGATGCTATGGCTATTGCACTTTTCGAATCGAGCCGAACTATGCGGGTCGCCGTTTTGTTTTGCCCGGAAGTTCTCGCAAGATCTACTCCTCCCCTCTTCTCTCTCTCTGTCTCTTTCTGAATACTGTCTATCGGTGTGGACGATCAAATTGACCAAAACAAAGTTAAAAAAGGATGTTAAAACACAAAAATAAATTAATTTGGTCGTCTATAAAGATGCTACGGCTATTTAACTTTTCGAATCGAGCCGAACTACGCAGGTCACCATTTTGTTTTGCCCGGAAGTTCTCATGCTACTCCTCTCTCTCTCTCTCTCTCTTTCTCTCTCTCTCTCTCTCTCTCTCTCCACTCCCCACAGACAAAATTGTACGCTTTTAGGCTAACAGCAGTAATGGAACATTTGTTCACGGCACAGAATTCTACAATTTTTCTATTATCACAAAGTTAAAATCTGTGGTTCAGGGTGAACGCAAAATTGGTTGGCCTAGATCTAGGCTACAACGCTGAACGCACACCGGGTGAGAATAGCCAAAAGACTCGCCTACGCTATTCTCAACCGGGGTGAGAATAGAGGTGGCCTTTTTAGTGTGCTGAGAACACTTGCGACTAAACATAGAACAACACTGTCATGATATTCGATACTTATACTCATATAGTGAAGATGTTCGATTCGAAAATAAACATTTCCTTTCCCTATGAAATCAATATGGCTGAATGTTTACTATCGTCTTGTGCTCGTCTGACTTAGATCAAATATCAAGAATACATAACATCATAACAGACACAAGACTATTTTTAGGTAAGGTGGCCATCTTGTGTGACGTCAGACCGGGATACCCTCCGATCAAGTGACTACATGATCTAAACATAGTAGCTGTTAGCCAACCGCATGGCATCACAGATCGTGTGTATGCCTACCTTGGCACGACGTTTGGTGCAATGTTTTTCCAGGAGACGTACCGGTAATGTGAATATGATGCAGTGCTCCGATCAGTGGCGGCTCGTGGTTTATAGAATTGACCGGCCATCATTTACATCGACTCTTTTTCCTTCCCCCACCCCCTTCCTTCACAACACACACACAAACACACACACACATACACACACACACACACACACACTCTGTTTCTCTCTCTCTGTCTCCTCATTTTATACCCCTACTTTCGCCATTCCCACCCCTTCCCCCACCTACACACACACCACTGTAAACATTAGAACATGATGTGAAGAGCTGAAATATGCTAGTGTCAAGAAACAATAGATTATAAATAACTATGATGGAAGTTACTGAGAAAATAGAAACTGACTTGATCGGCATAGAAAAAGAAACTCTAAGTCTCTAGAGACTATGCTAGAAAACAAACTGAAAGTGAGAAGCAATTAAACTGCTGGTCTTGGCCTCTGGTACTTTAAACAAAGACTTTTACTTTCTACACACCCACACACACTATCAACGTGCACTCGACCTGTAAATATGTAATAAGAACTGTCCTGAATGATGACAAAAAGTCAATTGATACTGTACCAGTGACGCTGTCCCATGCAGATTAAGTCTACAATCAGATACTATACAAAGCTGGACAAAGTTAGCTCACAACAGTTTTCCATCATTATTTTATGTAATCAAAGGTTCTTCATCGTACTTTTGAGTTCTCAGATCACTGTTGTAACAAAGTGGGGGAGTGTGTCAAAAGCTAATTATAGAACTTGGTTTCTAGCTGAGGTGAAGGTTGAAAAGGGGAGGGAAGGGAGGTGGTAGGCCTATTGTTTTCGACCCAGACTCTGACAGCCGAGTGCCTATCGCTCCTCGTTATAATTCTCCTTATCATGATATATATATTTATCTTCACTAGACGATTCCTCTTTTCGCCGGCTTGACTCATATGGGCCAGGTAAGTTATTAGTGGGGAGAAAGCGATGAATAAACACCAAACAGGAACTATAGACTATAGGTGACTAAAAATTCAATATATACAAAAATGATTAAAGTGCCATGCGGGCAATAAATGTTCTGATGATAGTTAGAGAAAGGCTGAATGATAAAAACATGTTATTGCTGATAAAATAATTCATATGTCTGCGATCCTCAAGAAAGTCTGATTCTTAATTTTGTAAGCAACACAGAGGCCAATTGGCAATCAAGGGATGTTCTATTCGCTCTGAGGGCAGTCGATGGATTTGCCCAGCAGACTGACGTCATCGCTGAACCCGCCGTGTTTGGTTTGTCCTCGTACGAAGTTCCGGGAAGTGACGGCTCGACCGGAGATGATTTAAAGTTACGAGCCGGCGCGATTATAAACAAACGTGAAAGAATGAGGCTGTCTCGACAAAACAGCAGTGTATTTTACTTGTATATTTGAGCGCTTTCAAATCGGCAAGGTGCTTTTTGAATGTTGATAGGTCTACATGTTTGTTTGGATACTTAAAACTGAATGAAAATCATCAGCTGACAAAAATTTGACCGGCACCGCCGGTATTGCCCAGTTAACAAACCGCCCCTGGCTCCGATGATGCTGCTGCCTATCTCTTCTGTGCATTGTTTATCGGGCCGGGGAGGGGGGTGGGAGATCTACGGGCGTATTTTCGGCAATTTTATCACGCTTTATTGTCTTTGCGTTTACTCCGTATTTCAGTTTCAATCATCAATGTTCTTACTGTTCTGAGCATCAACGATCTAAGCGATCTTCTATCACCAGAGCAGAGCATAGCTGACGGGCAGCAGTTAGCCACAAGTGTGAAATTTTACACTGCGAAACACACCGGTACGGATAATAGGTCAAGCCACTTACCCAACGTCGTTCCATGTGGTATCTCCAAAGATCGTGTAGTGTGTAGTATAGTAGGGAATCTTTAGTTATAAAAACAGTCTGTTGGTATCCCAAGGAGTGATGACATCACTTTACTAAAATAAGCAGCCAATCAGGAAGATGCGTCGTTCTACGTTTAGTCGCAGGTGCTGAGAATGATTTTGGCACTAAAAACTGTCACAAACCATAATTTTGGTGAACGGATGAATTTAGCACCCCCTTTTTTTGCGCGACTTCCGTTTTTGTTTCCGATTGTGTACATATGTTATAAATTTCCGGGGCCCTTTGTCCCGAAGAGAGCCCCCACTTGGATGAAATTAGGAAAATATGTCATGTAAGTTCCTTTCCTATAGACACAACATCAGAGCCTGGTCACTAGTAGATCTAGGCCACTTCACGCGCCACAATATAATAAACGTAAAATAGTTTGTTATCAGGCATTCGGAAAAGTGGTCCAACCATTGACAAAAACCTAAAAATACGGACAAGAAAGCAGAAAATGCAAATAAATCATGAAGCAAAACTTCCATGGTGAATTATTTATCGTCATTATTTAATTTACATGACGCACAAGAGGTCTGTATAGTTGATTATTTTATGATGTAACGTACTATGTTTGCAGAGGAGGGAGGGGGAAAGCTGGATGCACTTGGATGTTAATACTTAATATTTTCAGATCAGTGACTTGTGTCTTTAGATAGTATGACCACAGTCTAGCACCACATCATCACATTGTCTCTCTGTGGGGTGGCGAGACGTGTAACGGGAAGATTACTGAATGAAAAGTAGGCACTGAGCACTTACTACAACTGCATGGCATTCCTTTTCCGAACTGTGGTATCTGTTTGATTATGACTAGTTGTAAAGCGCATAGCCTGCTGTAGAATGTGGTGTGTGCTTGTGTAATAGGTGGCCTAGTGGTTAGGCTCTCAGACGTGCAATGGTCCGTTAAGTTGTGGGTTCGAATCCCATCAGGGGCCCGACATTGTGTCCTTGAGAAAGGCACTTTACCTCAATTTTTCTCATTTCAATCAGGTTGAAATGGGTACCCAGCTATAGAAAGCAAAAGGTCTTGTCGGTTTGTTAGTGTTTGAGGGTTTAAACAGCTGCTTGCATTGTATGCTTCTCAGGAAGCTGGAGGGCAGGATAGCAAGGTTATTACCATCCCAAGAGGCTACATGTACCCACTGGTGGTGGTGTGCTTCATCTTTAAGTATGATTAGATTATTAATAATAAGGCTTAGGGATGTCAGTGCTTATTACATCTTCATGTGCATGTAAGAAAGTTTTTTTTTGCAATTGGACAATACTATCTGTCAAGCTGTTGTATGTCTGATGCATACAAGGTAGCTGTTACAAGAGAGACCTTTTAAAGATAGCAATTTATATATGAAGGTTAGTTTTCTCAAATATATAGCAAAATATATTAAAACTCTTACACATATAGGTTTTTCTTTGTCTTTCTTTTGACAGGGCAATTACACATTCAAAAAGGTCTGGTCAAAAGTCTCAAAGAAGCACATTGCTTGTGATGGGTAAGTTGGTCCAAAATTACTTTTGTGTGTGAAATTGTGTTCTGTCTTAGGTACTTCAAAGGAGAATTCTATTGAAGGTCCCCAAGATCAAAGCTTACTATTGGCCTCTGCATTATAATATTTATAATTTCTTTATCTTTTGAAATTATTGATGCGATATATTCCTATATTTTTACCTTTTTCCAGCTTTGCTACCTTTTGTTTTGTGTGTCAGATTGAAGGTCTTTGTCTTAAACAGTCGTTTGTGGTAAGCTGAAGTACTGTCTCATCCTTCCGGTTTTCCTACCTTTTACTTTTTGTTATATATATATATATATATATATAAGATTTTTGTTAATGTTTGTGCAGTGAATGGAATTTGTTACTGTTGTTTCTTTGAAAGAAAAACTGTTCACTAACTTGGTCCAGAATCCTCCTGTGTCTCCACAACTACCTCCTGTTTCAATGGGGGAGTTCAAGCACTTCACACACAAAGCTGGTTTATTGTTTGCCACCAATGAGTAGACAGTGGATAGACGACTGGACGTTGTCATTTGTTGTACTTGTAATTTAGTAAATTAAGGTCCAGCTGGAAATAAGTAAGATATACTCAGTTCTCTTAAGACTACATAGTCATATTTATAAGTATATATTATTAGTTGAGAGCTTGCCTTGATTGTGGTTTTTTCCTAAAAGATGTGAGTAAATAATTTCACTTTTTGTGTCTCAATATTTGTGTTGATCACCGTGAGTGTTTTATTGCAGGAGGTGGGCATTCTTTGATAACTATGAAGACTGTTTTGACTGGTAAGTTCACAGTTTTTTCTATTTGTGATGTAAGATTAACGTGTGATCTTGTGTCTAATGGCTGTGGTGGCATTTGTTTAAACTCAGTGCTTCAATTAATTAAGGTTGCTTGAATTGTATTTTTTGTTTTTTATTGAAGATTCCTGTATAAAAATTTGTAACCGTAAAAATTGGGCTTTTGCTGTTTTTATGTGTTATCTTGGGTCTTGGTCCAAAGAGTCAAGTGAAGACCAGTGAAAGACAAAGTTACAGCAATGAAGAAAAATCTAGAGGATGCCATAGGTAGATCTTATTTCTGTTCTTTCCCTCTGCAGTTTCCGTTTACTCAAACCCAAAGAGCACTTCCAAGTGTTAAGGAGGAGCGGTGTTCTATTCTGTGTGGAATCCCCCTTGCTACAGTTTCTTTTAGGTAGAGTTTCAGGTCAAAATCATGTATCTTGAAATAATTTCCATTTTGTGGCACAGTGCTTGCGAATCGATTGTTGCATTTTAAAGAATTATCCACACACCTCGACTTATATCTCCCAAGACTCACTTTTTGTCTGTCTTAATTAAATTGATAATTTGATTGAAAAGGAAATGTCTTATCTTTGTTTTTGAAGTTTCTCAAGCTTTGTGCTGTCATGTTGACCATGTTCTCTTTTCTCAATTTTTCAGTGGCAGCCCAAGACGAGCACCTCATAAAAGGTTTTCATTACACAAAGACAAGCTGGCAAAGATTGAGGATGCACTCATCATGGAGGGGATTGCAGTGAGTAATTATGAGTAATTATTTAATGATCTACTCCAGGGATTTCCTAATTGGGATGCATGAATCCTCGAGGGGTGCTTGAATCCATTCTAGGAGGTTTGTGAAACGTTTCAAAGTCAAAACAAGAGCGCATTTTGTTGAAGGTTTTGTGTCTTAAACAGTTAAAATTTTGAGGAGACTTCTGACATCTGCACGGGGGGTTTCGTGGGAGATAAAATTGGGGAAATACTGATTTGCTCCATCTGTGTAAAAGTCTGTTGGCTTACTATTAGTTAATCCCAATGGGTGCAGCCAGATGGTGAGCCCTGTCCAGAATCCTGAACCATTAACCCTATTGGCCTGAGCATGTGCCTCCTTTTCCCTTCAGCCCATGAATGCATACACCTCACTGAGCATGCATGGATGCAAATCTAGTGTCAAACCATGGGAGCTCAGGGGCATGGGTCATTTGGGTTCAGAGAATCTGTGTACATTTGGTTAATTCTTCTTAACTCTTTATGCATTGACTGTGAACTCAGTTTCTGTATAATATTAATGTTTTGAACTGATGTCTGTGGTGAAATGCCATTGCCTTGATTTTTTGTGTCTCTGTTTTTCCACTGGGATACTGTGTCCCCCTCAGCCCGAGGTTGGCCTCGACAGTGACAGGCTCGACTGAAGCATGCTGCCTGGTAAATGATCTGATTTGTTCGGATGGCGGCAATCTTACAATCAGTCAACTATTTGAAGTCCTGGTTCTTGATTCCTGTTGGCATGCTGTATATACCATGCCAATGTTTTCCTCCCATAGTCAACTTAGTGCTGCTGATATTAAGCAGACTTCTGTACTCTGTTTTACCCCATGAAAGAGTGGTCTGTTGTGTAGTGGTAAGGTGCTCTGCTGTAGCGCACAGAAGACCTGGCTCAATTCATGTATGAGGAGAATTTATTTGAGTAGCCCAGTCTTTGTGACTTGTCCTTGTACATTATATCGCTCTCAGTCCAGGTTGGCCCTGACAGGCAGGGTGGAAGCCCGCCTCCTAAATGATTTAAATCGTGTCAGTGGCGCTGTCTAATAACTTCTATAATTACATTTACTTGACCTCAGGACAGCGTGGAGCTGCGTCACAGAAATCACAAGTCTTGCCTGTTGGCATTGACCAAGGACAACATGTTGCTGCGAATTGACCTGGATACTGGCCAGGTGATGGAGCAGGTCTACCTGGGACCCACGTCCATCAGATACAAGTCAGTGTTGTATATCTTATGTTTTGTTATTTTTTGGGGTAGTAGGAGGATGACACAGGTAGGTTGGTCCTACTTCTTTCCTTTCCATCTTTTACTTCGTGTCAAATATATATATATACAGTCGAACCTGCCCTGACGGCCACCTCTATAGGACGGCCACCTGTACAAACGGCTACTTTCCATTTCCCCCCTTGCGTTTTTTCTATATAATTTAACTGTGTCAAACGGGAACCTGCCCAACGCGGTCACGGCCACCATTTTAACACACAACCCCTATCACACCAAGCAATAACACCTGTCTTAGACGGCCACCTTAGCCTTGGTGACTCCATTACGTTTTGTCGTAAATTGTGCATTGGCCCCTGGCGTTGTGAGCAAGCCGTCATAATCCAATCACCTGTTTGTTGTTAGGTAGTCTCTCCAACCGATCATGTTTCGTAGGCCCCTCTCACTGATGACCAATAGGTAACAAATTTCCAGCTGCTGGTGAGGTAAGCGTTTGATCTCTGTCTCTCATACCCCATAAGCCCCTCCCAGAACTCTTACATAAATCGTTAAGTGAGATGAGTGGTCACTGTTTACCCAGTCTGTAACAAAGTAACAATAGACGTCAACATGAACTTGCATCTCTCGTTCTCCGAGTGGCGACCCATGTGTTTGTTTTACCATAGCTCTCGTTCCTCCTTGTCTTCGGTTGGGACCTCAGAAAGGAATGTTTTGTTTTCTTCATCTTGATCAGTCCTGCCTAAGACGGCCACCTGTCTTACACGGCCACTTTTTCCCTTGACATTGGGTGGTCGTCTTACACAGGTTCGACTGTATATACATTATATGCTTTCACAGGTGGTAGGAGGGGGACACTGATAAATCTTACTTTTTAATTTCCTTTTTTTAGTATGTAATGTATGCATTATGCTTTTGTGGGTGGTAGGAAAGTTGAAAGTGACACTGGTAAGTCTTATTTTTTTACGTATTCGTCTTCTATTTATATTGTTGTAGCAACGTCTTTTAAAATGCCTTCTCTTGCATTCTCCTCAAATTAAGTCGACAACTGTCAGAGGGAAAAACTTGGTAGATGTGCTTTGGTTTGAAAAAAGGCTTCATGTGCTGAGTTCAGCAATGCCAGACATAAATGTATATATTTGAAAAAAAAAGTCACGGGACATTTTTTTAATACTATAAATTGATAAAAACTTAAATTTGGAACATTATTTTTAGAAACCACAGATATTTTCAAATTCCAAAGAAAGTTCTGAAATTATGAGGCACCATATGAAGAGCTTATTGTTCTTTGTATATAATTCGCAGAAGACTTGAAGTCATTTAATTTAGTACCTCCATCTTTCTACTGTGATGTTGTATCCTACTCACCCCAGGCTGGCCCTTTACAGGGGTGATTGTTCATACGTCATCCAGTTGTATCTGGGATTTAAACATTAAAAAATAATTATCTTCTTTTTTTAGGAATATAAATTTCAACAAAAGGATTATATAATTAAATAAAATAGGATGACTTTTGACCTTGCTGACAGATTAGGTAAAACATATTGGTATGACTCATTTTTTCTTTAGAAAGCAACAATATCAACCTGTCCAAGCAGCTTGTGTTTTTGTCTATTGCAGGAAGATCCAGTGGAACATGGTGGACGAGAGTTTTACTTTGTGCTCCATGCTGTTTCCCAGACAGCCTGTTCATTTCCTTAGACAGGTATATGTCAGCTTGTTCATTTCCTCAGACAGATATAAGTCAGCCTGTTCATTTCCTCAGACAGGCATATGTGAGCTACCTCGTGTCTCTGTTGATGAGTCATCAATGTATTTTGTAGCAAAAAAATATCAAGCAATTTTGAGAAACAATAGCTTCTAGATGAATGGCATGTTGGATGTGACTTTGATAAAATCAGAACTTCTGGTAAAAACAAACAACTGGGCACAGAACTGAGGCTACCACCTATGACTTATTTTTCTGTATTATTTAATTTATTTTGGTTTGTAGTTTCCTCTGTATAGATTTATTAATTCTGTGTGGTCTGTATGAGTATGCCATAATAAATCCCATTGTACCAATCTTTCTAGATGGATAAGAAAAGTAGGGATATTTTAATCGACCTTTTTATGCAGCTTCTCCATCCTGAATTTAGACATAGTATTATAAAGTGTGTAGGGTAATTACTGTTACTCTGTCTACCTTTTTCATCTGTCTTACTGTTGTTTACTAGTTTTAGTTCTGAACTAGAAGGTGATGTCTGATGATTGTCTACCCGAAATGTACCAATGAATGGTTCAAAACATATTGTCGAAGTATCAGTCTTCTTACAAGAAATGCTTCTATTACCACACACAAGGGATTCCCCATGCTGACAATTCATCCCCGGCTAGCCACGTATAGGGGTATCCTCCTTGTTTGAATACTGTTTGAAGTGCAATCGAAAAAAAAAAACAGCTGTTGAATTTTCCACAGTAGTTTCCATTGCATGAATAATGTGGGGAGAACACTGTGATCATCAAACCAAACACTCAAGTCAACTGATTTTAGTGCTCAGCTGAGTGTAGGTCATTGGATTTGAATAATATGAACAATGGCAAAGCAATCCTCCACCTCTCATAAAGCTCAGAATACATGGGTAATGACAGTAGTACAGATGTAATATTGATTCTGGTGACATTTGTGCTAGTGAAATAGAGGGAGATGCTTGTTCAGAAAATAATGACAAGGATAAGAGTTAAATATTGTTTCCTCATCCAAATACCTTCATAAAGACATGCTGTATGGGAGAAAGCTGTAGACTTATCAGAAGACTGGATGCTAGTAAAAGAGAGTATTTGTGTTCGTGGTCAATGAAGACAAGCAATGAAAGGCATTCTGAGAAAAGAAAGGGATAAATTGTAGACTGAGGATGAGAGGAAGTTCACAGATTATTCATGAGTGTTAATTTTAAGAGGTGTGGCCTAGCATAGTAATTTTAGCTCGAAACTTTCAAAAAATGTGGTGGTACAAGGACAAATATGTGTAGTATGAAAAGATTTAATATTCCTAGCTAGTGTAAACGTGAGGTACATTATACTTTTATGTTTATTTTAATGTATTAGAGGTTTTAAATTCTTAATAATATGTATGACTTTAAACTTAGTAAGTTTTATATTTTCTATGGGTTTTCCATGTTCTCCACTGAGATGCTGATAGGGTGGTAAGGAAACAAGAGGTAATTGTCTTGTAGATTTAAAGGCTGCTCAAATTTAAGGTTGGAAACAGTTTGATATGTTCCTAACAGTTTTGTTGTATGTATACATGTTGTTTACCTACCTGTGCAGGCTGGTATGGAAGTCACAGATGTCATCCAGCTGACTATTCTCTCCTGTCTGCCTCTGGACTTTGTCTGCAAAATGTCTGTCACACGACAGGTATGTGGTTAGTGAAGAGAACAGGTGTCTAGTGTCATAAATTATTTGTAGGTCAGACTTTATGTTAATTTTTGAAATTTATATTATTTGATGTAGACTAGTCTCATTTTGTAAAATTTCAATGTGGATCACGTCAACCTAAAGGATGAGAATCCATCATAGATATCACCATAATGCAAACACCAGCAGAGCCTTACGCGGGGGCAGTGTTGCATACAGACGGAAGTCATTTTAGGCGGCCTTTGAGATACGTCTGTATGCTATGCTGCCCAGAAGATCATCTTTACCCTTAAAACAAAATTTCTAAAATTCGTTCAGTAGATGAATGAAAAATGTTACCCTTAATATTTCTCTCAAAATCGGAAAAAACAGATATGTTGTATTTTGTCATGGAGCTGTTCGGTCGTAGATCACAGAGTTATTCGGTTTGTGGACATTTATTTAAATGATGTAAATTGCTCCTCCATAATTTTTGTGTTGTGTTCTCTGTCTAAAAGCTTAAACAAACCAAAATGGAAAGTGGTTTGTTTCTTCCTTCATCTGACTGCTGGCCCTGTTAAACCACGCTTTCATGTACTTCCTTATGATCAATGGCGTGTTGATTTCTCTCTATCTGTTTGAAGTGAGTGCATGGACCCTGGTTCATGTTCTTATGAGAGTGTAACTGCACTGACTGATTTGTAAATTGTTTTAATTTATGAATGAGTAAGAAAAAAAATTGTGATGAATGGAGAAAAAGATAGATTTCTAGTGTAGTGTGAGTTACCTTTAGTAATAGAGTATTGTTTTGTCAGGAATCAAAGAAGAACGTTGTTACCACTGTGAAAGGTTGGAAGAACTGGCTGCATCAGTATATTCACCAAAGAGAGAGGGAGGGAGGGAGGGAGAGAGAGAGAGAGAGAGAGATTCTGTAGGCAACAAATTATTCCCTAAATGAACAAAATTTGGCTGGTAGTTGTTAGATTGAATGTCTTTTCTATCCCTCAACTGTTTCAGCACAACGTACCCTGCTGTTCCCGCAGCAACTTTGTTCATTGTGGGAACAATTTCGTGTCTTGCTCATTAACTACAGAAATGTTCTCATTGTCCTTGATATTGTTTGCTTTGTTGACTGATGCAACCACTTTTAAATTTGATGTCTAGGTCTTTGGCAAAGACACGGTGGATGCGGCCATCTTCCTCAACCTGCTGATGGTCATGCACTCAATGAGCCACGTGCGCATGTACAGCCTGGAGACCATCATGAAACAGGTCAGTGTTCATGCTCATTAATCAGAACAGCGGTCCCTATTTTGGTAGTAGGAAACACTGCATTAAAACCTGGTGTGCTTAAGAAACGGGGTTTTTTGGGGGGAGAGGGGGGTACCCTTTTTTCAACTCGCTCCACCCCAAAGGGGTTGTAGCTGTTCAAACCGTGAACCCCAAGCGAAGGGGGGATAACTACTCTTTTTTGTTGTTGAAAAGAACACATTTTAACAATTTATTTTAAATATGTAAACGTTCATCATTTGTTCTGAAACAATATAAAATATACCAAAATGAATGTTTCAGATATTGTATACTTTGCCATATTATTGTTCTTAATAAAAGATATACTTAGTTGGGCCCTTGCCTTCAGGCAGCTGCATTCTGATTTGGAAGGTACTCTAGTTTTATGTTTTTATACTGATCAAAGTACTTTCAGTTTTGGTAGGAATTCATTTTGAATTTTTTCTGGATGGTGACCCAAGCCTACTGTTATCGATTTTGGACTACCAAGAGATCTTTAGACATGGGAAAGTTGCTCATGGACCTCCAAGATTTTTTGCCCTTCTCTATGAAAGCTAGGTGTTTGATCTTACCTACCCTAAGATCAAGGGTGTGGCTGAACGACAGTAGTAAAAAGGAGCCTGGAGTAGCAGTACATGCAGAAAGATTCAGGGAGAGAGGATCCAGGAGGCTGGGGCTAGGCAGGGGGGGGGGGGGGGGGGGGGGGGGGGGGGGGGATTTAAGCAGACAGAACATGTCTAGAGAACAGGAAAGGTGGTGAAAGGAAAAGTAGAGTAGAGAATGTTTCCATCGTTGTCATATGTTTGGTGCCCATCTGATCTGGATAATTTTTTAGTTACAGGTTTTGTACACCTCTGTCTTCATTTCTCTCAACTACAAAAATGTGTACTTAGCTTTCAGCAAGGACTTGATATGTATGTGGCGCCAGTGTGTACTTATCAAGTTTCAGAGCTGTATGTCTGGAGGAGGATTGAGGTGTCAACAATGATTGTACTAGTGAGTGAAGGTGGTAATTGCTGGCATGAATTCATTTTAACCTTTTATGTGGAGGGCAGTAAAAATTATCAGGCTACACTACAAGAGAAGCTGTGGGGGCTGACAGATGAACTGAGCAAGACGGCCCTGTATATGGTAGATACTGGATTTCCAGTGTGATGCGATCGAGAAGCAGATTTTCATGCTCACTGTAAGCATTAACATTCTCTTTCTGTCCCATGTGATGTGCATGATGTGCAGAGTTGACCTCTTGCTCATATTCCCTCTATATTTTGTCAACATGTTCATCCTCGCAGGGCTGTCTGCATCAACAAAAACTATATGACAAACTGGAAGATGGGACAACGTATGGTATTTACCCATCTCCCGTCACAGTCAGTGTCAAGTTAGAAGGTATGTCTGCCTTTTTTTTCAGTCATCATCAGTTTGATTTTGCTTGCGTTCCCTTTATATAATCCTTTTCTTTTCTTGCCATGAAATGTCAAAAGCATCGAAAGAAGATGGTATTAGGACATCAATGAATAATGGGAAATTAGTGCCACAGAGGCTGGATGCAAGGTGCAGGGGAAAAACCTGCTCTCTGAGGGGTTGACAGGAAGGTTTCACCTGTAAAAGAGCACGGCTATGTTTGAGGAAAAGTCTGTCCACTCTGTCTTTGGTCACTGCTCTGCATGCGGTTCTTTGGTAGGTGCTCTGGTATTATTTGTTTCTTTTTCCCTTTCAAAAATCTATTGTCCATATCTCTCAAATAACACCTCTAATATTGAGCAGTTTTATGGCGTAATTGTGTTACAAGTGCTGTAAAACTCTTTCTCAAACTAGAAATTTGCGCTTAACATACTCTTGTATCTGATAATTATTCATATGGCAATTAAAAAGAGCCACCCTTTTTTTAAAAGACTATTTTACTCTCTGTGTATCAACCCCCTGTGTGGAGAATGTATTTATCTCTCTCTCTTTGTACCCTCTGGATATCTCCCCCCTTTGTGTGGAGAGCCTTAATCTCTCTTTCTCTCTCTCTCTCTCTCTCTCTCTCTCTCTCTCTCTCTTTCTCTTTCTCTCTCTCTCTCTCTCTCTCTCTCTCTCTCTCTCTCTCTCTCTCTCTCTCACTCCCTCCCTCCCTCCGCCTGGTGTGTAGAATCCTTCATCTCATTCTTTGTATCTCCCTTCTGTGTGTAGAGCGACCACCGTGTCTGTTTGAGGTTCGGTGTCGTAACCGAGATGTGATGTTGACGATGCCCCCGTGCTACTACATCATGTGGCCCTTCGGCAACTATCGAGGCTACTGCTGCTTCTCCCTGCGCACTCAGGAGATGGTGAGAGTCCTCTTTCACTTGTTCCCAGTTCATAAATGAGAGTTTATGTCATTGTCCATGATTGTTGGTAAGGTTAGATTTGTTTGTTCATGAATCATTATTGAGAGTATGTGTCTTTGTCCCTGTCCATGAAGAAAAAAAATAGCATTTTTGTGTAGCTTTTACTACAAAGCACTAAACAAAACACCAAAAATGTAAATATGTAGTTTTGAAGGACACCCAAGCTTTCTTCTTTAAAATTTGTGTCTAAAATATTCCTGCATAAAATACACTTTCCATGATAATGTTCACTTTTCTAGAGTTTTTCGTGATCAGAAGTCTGTTTACAGATACATTGTACATTATGAAAATAAAGAAAAGGGTAAAAGTGATAGTTTTTCATTACTCAGAAATTCAGTGTCATAAGCTACAGTGAGATGGAGAGTTTTTGGCAAGTATTTGTCAATTTTGCAACCAACACCACCCCCCCCCCCCCCCCTTCCCCGCCTCTCTCGTTAAGAATCTTGGGTCTGAAAGGTGTGTATTTTACAGATTTTTTAATGTACTTGCAGTCATCAGGTTACTGTAAATGTTATATGTTTAAAGTGTTTTTAATTTTCACCTCATGTTCGGCGTAATAGATCTCTTTTTGTCCTTTTTTAAGTCTCCCCCATGCTGTTCTTCTATCTCCTCCTGGTCTGTCTATCTCCAGGTGGAGGGAGGGTGTCTGCAGGCAGAAGACTCTGCCCCTGAAGAGAGAGTGTCACTGCACGCCGATGACTCTGGCAGGATTGTTCACATGAAGAACGCAGAGCTCAGGTATGTTCCTGTAAGACTGCTCTGTCATGTGATATTACGTTAGGCTTTCCCCAGTTCGAGAGCATGTCTCATGCGAATATGCGGCTATGGCGGCAGGCGGAAGTGCAGGTGTAATACAGAGACTCCATCGGGAAAAGCAAAATCTACTTTCGCTTTCGTTCCCGCTCAGAATTGTCCGATGATAGTTTGTTAACGTTAGATTTACAGTTAATAAAAAATTGCAACGTGCAGTTTGTGCATAAAAAACACAGTGTCGCCTTACAAATTAAATCGATGTTCTCTCTGATGTCACTATAATGACAAAAAAAAACCAAAAGGGAAGAAAAAGAAAACAAGCGTCCTCCGATTTCTAGATTGTCGCGCCCGTCATCGTGACCAGTCAGTGAACCTGTAAGCAGGGTTCCCGCGGCGTCCTTGAATTCAAGGAGTCCTTGAAAACTCCTTGAATTTGCATTCAAGAAAAAATCTCCTTGAAAACTCCCTGAATTTCCCTGGATCGGACATGAACAAAATTTTTGTTTGAAAATCGAAACTTTCTGACAAGTGTAGGCCTATCAGAAATAGGGTTTCGGGGTGCGAGTTCGCGCAGTGGCCGGGCATTTTTGGATCTCAACGGACACCGTCGGTAACTGGAGATTTCCGCCAGTCATACGCATGCATACTGCGGTGTTTTCCCATTCTCTCCGCGCTGCCGTCCGGGCCTTTGTTTCAAGTCTTAGCTGAGGGCCTTGTCTTTGTCGTTCCTTACGCTTCAGGCAGTCATGCTGTGCAGATTGCCACGCTTTTGACGTCTTGTCTTGTGATACTGTGATTTCGACAACTACCAGCAACTGTGCTCGCAAATTCTTCCTTCACTTCGTTTGGTTTATTTATTAATAACCTTCCTGTGGATTACGACTGTGTGACGGTGTGGTGTTCTCTTATTATTTTGGTCACCACCAGATACCTTACGTCTGTTTTTTTTGGCCATGCAAAGGCAGCAGTCATGTTAGAAAAAGTGAAGGCTGCCCTGGATGGAAAGGTCAACCTATCAAAACTGGTTCAGCTGTCCATGGATGGCTCAGCAGTGAACCACAAGTTTCATCGGTTGCTCACAGAAGAGCTGGCATCAACTGTAAGTGAATTTAAACTGGTGGACATATCCAGCTATGGTCTGCACACTGTCCACAATGCCTTTAAAGCTGGACATACTGCATTCAGTTGGGACCTGGGCTCTTTTTTTTCTGCATTGACCTGGATCTTTAAGAACACTCCTGCCAGACGAGAAGACTTTGAGGAACTGACTGGCTGTTCCACCTTTCCCCTGGACTTTTGCAGCCATCGATGGTTGAAAAATATGCGTGTGGCAGAACGGGCCCTCGCTGTTTGGCCTCATGTGCAGAGGTACCTTCAGTTCCTGCTGAAATCCAAGACGCCCCTGAAAACCAAGTCATTCAAAACTCTGGTAGCTGCCATGGGCGATCCCCTCCTGAAAGCCAAAGTTGAAAACTTAAACTTCATATCAGTGGCCAAGATTCTTCAACCCTTTCAGCTGAGGTATCAAACCGATGCTCCCCTCTTTCCTTTCTTGGCAAAGGACCTGTTCTTGTGCGCTACATCTCTGCTGCAAAGGTGAGTATTTCATGTTTTGTTTTCTTAAATAAAAATTTAAAAAGGCATGGTATAAACTACTCTGTCTAGTCTGACTCATTTTCAACAAATTTGATTTCAGTGGTTGATATAAGTTGGAAAATATTTTTCTCCCTTGCCAGGAAGAAGCCAAAATGTACCATTTAAACGTTTTAATCTTGATCTTGAGAATTTATAAAAGTTGATTTACCCTACCCAGACATAAGAAAAATTCAGTCTGTTGAATTGAATTTACATAATTTTATGAATAAATGATTACTTATGAACAGAAATTAAACTCCAAATTGTTGACCTGGGTTTTCTATGAAACATGTAATGATTACTTCTTTGTTCCTCAGATACCTGACACTAGGGTTCTCTCTCAAACATGTATTGGTACAATTGTACTAATTGCTTATGCCATGCTTGCTTTCTCAGATTCTTGACATCAGATGCTGCAAGCAAAGTGCAAAACCATTCCAGGTCTTTTGAATTTTGATTTAATGACAAAAAGCAGTTTGTCAAAGCAGGTATGTTTGATTCATATATATATATTATGTGTGTGTGTGCTCATCAAATAAGTTGTATATTGTTGAGTAAAGATTAAGATTTTCTCAGTTTTTAGTAATTTATGTAGCAAAGCAAAAATGTTGTGTCTTCTCAGAAGGCTGTGAATAGGTGAGCAATAATAATAATTTTAAAATAGTGATACATCATTCTGAACAATCCTTTCCTGAAAACAGCTCAGGGCACACTGACACTGCTCAAGTGTCACTGACACTGCTCAAGTGTCGACCCAAAAAAAGATCAGTTGTTATACTTTGTATGTATGCACCAATGTCTTTTTTTTTCAGGCCCTCCTGATCTTTGAATTGACTATTGACTTATTTTGTTTGTGTTTGTTTGAATTAAAAGGTGATGTTGACATTGGGTTCAAGAGCAAGCAGGAGCTCAAGTCGGCATCAAAGGCCAGCCAGAAAGATGTCCTGGCTTTCCAACTAGAGGCACGGGACTTCCTACTGGCAACATTGCAGAAGCTGGTGGACAAGTCACCTTTGAAGTCGAGTGTTTTGAGAAATTTGTCTTGGCTGAACCCTGAGGTAGGCCTAAAAATATCTACTTATTTCATCTGTCTTTTAATTCCATTTTCATTGTTCAAATTTTTGAATATCTTACTATAACCTTAAATTTGTTTAATTATTATATGTATTGGTAGCCCCTATCGTTGTCTTCTTCATCCTGAAACTTGTTTTCAGCTGGCTGTGTTATTGCCCTTAATTAATGTCTTATATTTTACTGTATAGGGGAGTAGCAAGTTTATATCAAGGTTGTCCGTATATTAATAACAATAACAGGATTTTTTCATAGGGCCTCAGCTGAAACCAATCGTCAGATTATGTGTGATTGATTATATAGAAATATGATTTTCCACTTTCCACAGGTGCTGAGAAATGACCAACCAGGTGGCATCTGTAAAGATGTTGGAGCAGACCCTCAGCCACCTTGTCTGCCTGTCCAGACTGGATGCAGACAAAGTTGACACCTTCAAAGAAGCCTTTTAGTTATGGCTGTCGGATGTAGGGATCCTTCCCTCCTTTGATTCCTCTGTTGACAGGCTAGACATATATTTTTATGGCTTGTTTGCCAATTTGAATGACTGTGCTCTGTGGAAAATCATGAAACAACTTCTAATAATTAGCCATGGCCAGGCACAGGTGGAAAGGGGCTTCTCTGTCAACAGAGAGACCATGGTAGTTAACATGGTGGAGAAAACTGCCATCTCAAAGAGGGTGGTCTGCGATCATGTGGCAGCTGTAGGTGGAGTTAAGAATGTTCTTTTAAATGCTCCTCTACTTGCAGCTGTCATCGGCTCCAGGGCCTCTTATAGGCAATATCTTGAGGACAGAAAACTGGAGCAGGAAAGGCAGCAGAAGAAAGGGAAGAGACAGGACAAGTATGAAGTGTTGGAAGGGTTGAAAGCGAAGAAGAGGAAGTTGGAGAAAGAGGCCACAGATCTGGACTCCCTAGCTGAGAAAGTGGAACGGCTTGGAGCCATAAAGCTTCTTGTGGAGTCTAATGCTCTTAGGCAGGGAGCCAAAGCCAAGAGAAAGGAAATAGAGACAGTTTCAGCAGCAGTGGAAGCTGCAGCTAAAGAAATAGCTGGCATTTAATTTGGAGCCAGGAGGACAACACAACAGTTGTATATATTCCTACAGTTTCAGTGTAATTTTTTCTTCAAGTGTGTGTACATATACATGTGTTTTAATTTTGGGATTTCTTCGACTTCCAACATGGCCTGTTTTTATGGATTTAGCAGAGGAAAGCAGAGACCAGGCACATTATAAAGTTTTAAAGGTAGGACAATATTTAAGTTCATTTAAACTGGTTTTTGATCAATACATTTGTGTGTCAATGCCCTTATTGAATTTTTGTTTCCTGTATTATTGCTCTTGGCGCCGTTGAAAAACGGCATGAATTTCTTGACCAAATCTCCTTGAATTTTAAAAATTTCTCCTTGAAACCTCCTAGAATTTGGTTGGGAGTTTATGGCAGGAACCCTGTGTAAGAGTTTGTGAGTACGGCATGAGTAGGGGACCGGCTGACGGTTGCTGGGGTAATCAAAGTTCATTCAAAGTAAGAGCATTTGCAGGGCTTCGGAATTGAGGGGAGGTGTTTGACGATATAAAGTTTACCGCAGCAGGAAAAGGCAGCGGTACAAGAAACTGATGCTAAAAAAAACGATAAGTTGAAGTGGTTTTGACATTGGACTAACGAGTGCATAAATGAGGGAACATTAGAGCACAGGCTTGATGATTGTATCTTCAAGGTTGGTGTTCCCTGATTTGTCAGTGATGACAAATTGAATAGTGGCAATAGAGGAAATGCCATTTTTAACCCTCTGAAAGCTCTATGTTGGATGCCTATGCATCATGATGGCTTGTTGCTGATTAAAAAGTGGTACTGTGATTTAGCATTTCGGAAAAAATCAATACTTAACTTACTCCATAATGCAGTGATTCACTGATTGCCAGGTTTTCAGTGTCACTACATCCCACGCTCTCACAGTCCTTCCAGCTCCAGCTCTCAGTACACACTCTCTTTTATTTTCACTTTTTGCTCTGCTGTAAGCCTGACTATAAAGGTTTTATAGATAAGTTTTGTCTTGCATGCTTTTTTAAATCCGTGATTGCTGAAACCAAACGTGGTTTTTGCAGTTGATGTTCTTCTTGCCTCTCCTCAGGCCCAGATCAGGATTCCTTAGGGTAAAACTAGTTAAAATTGTCTGTCACACCTAAGTCACAAAGGACTTATCAGTGTCCTAGGCTAGTGTCAAAAGATATGCTTTAATATAGTTCTATTGGTATGGGCTAGCAGTTTTGAAGTCAGTTTGGCAATCACCCTGCACTCAACTCCAGATTCAATACTGAATGATAGGTGCCTTGAACGGTAGTCCATAAATGATTTTTTTTTAAAAATAGCCTCATTTCATACACACTGTTTATCTTAACTTGTGCATACCCAAACTCCCCCTTCCCCTTCCCACATATATAAACATGCGCGAGAGCATGCACACGTGAACACACACACACACACACACACACATGTGCATGCACAAACAAGTTTTCAAAATATAATTACCCTATCTCACGGAAAGCAAGCGCTTTCGATGGGGCAATGATCATCTTTTTTTTTTCCTTCCTTGTCTTTGTACTACCTGATTTTGGGCCAAACTACCTGAAACTGACCCTGAATCTACCTGAAATGGGAACTTTGAGGTAGGCAGCCCTGCATTGAAAGACACCCAAGTGTCCAGCAGTGCATTCATCTGATAGTTGATTGTGCAGAGGCTCAGATGGACTTGTCCAATAGACCCAGGAGTGTGCTCAAAGTCAAAGGGTTTTAAAACTTTGATTGTCTGTGCTTTAAATTTAACCATAGTAGTTGTATAACTTGATTGGTTTTGAAAGTTTAGAGCAAATTTCATTTCTGTCATTCTCAAAAAAGGTGCTGTTCTCAAGTGCCTCTTTGTTACAGTATTTGACTGCTAGGAGGTTTGCATCTGGTGATAAATTTGTTACAGATTGCACAGTTTTTTGTTGACATAAAGTTTTTACTTTGTCATGTTCTGTAATAGTGTTTTTATGTATGTGCCTTATGTTATGTAATTGAAAAGTCAGGATAAAAAATTATAGGATGTCTTGAAAGGATGCTAATTTTCCCAAAAAGTCTCTAGTGCTTGAGGAAAAGGGGTTGTTGGAACTTTTTAAATTTTGCATTACCAGTTGATTTTTCATTGGGTTTGGGTAGTTAAGAAACCTCTTTTAAAGTCTTTTAAATTAATGGATATTATTTTCTCATTGGTTATAAATTCAAATTCTAGATGGTCACTTTTACGCACAAGTGGACTATCCCGAAAAATGCTGTTTTGAGAAAATCAAAGGCAAAGTTTTTGCCCCATGTTCAGTTTCTTTAAAATACAAGAGCAGTCTTCTCTATAACCAAACAAATATACACACCAATGAAACCAAACGTCTCTTATAAGGGCAATGCCCACTTTTGGTGTAGTTCAAGATTTCAGAAAACCCCCGAAATCTGGGTTAGCACGCTGCGGCTTGTCCTTAAAAGCGACCAAAGTCAGTTGAACCTGTTTTTGTGGCCACATGTCCAAGACAATTGAACCTGTACAAACGGTCACATCCCACTTCCCCCTTACATTTTAAAAGTATTATGGTGGTACTATCTAAGACAGCCACCTGTTTCAGAAAATCATTTTTCTTCTCAACAACGGATAGCTGTCTTGGACAATATCAACTGCAGTATAGATGAATCCAAAGTAAAAGTTTTTTAACAGCCAGTAATGATTATTTCCCTATCTTTCTGACTTCAGAGTTTTGAAGCTACAAGCTCAGGCTAACGATGAGGAGAGAAAGCTTGTAGAGGATTTTGTCATCAACTTTACTCCTCAACCACAGGTAAATTAGTTGGCCAGCTGTGTGTTCTGTTCTTTCCACTTGAAGGCCTCTTTGAAAAATGGTATTCGTCACCAGAAAAATATTGAGGACTGCTGTTTTTATTTGTCCACATGTTCATTAGGAGCAATTTCAAATCTCTATGTATGGCTGTTTTTAATATGATTCTAGTACCGGACTACACCTGTTTTTGCTGGGTTTTTTTTTTAAAGTTTTGATAGAGATGACCAAATACATCAAACAATAGATTAAATCAGACTAAGGCATGAATTCATAAATTGTGAATAAAGCCGTTTCCCCTTGTGCTCTTCCCTTGTTTTTGTGCTTGTTTTTTTCCTTGTCTGTTCCTGGTGGATTAAAATAGTTTTAATAACATTAAGTAAAATATAACTTTTGTTGATCCTTGCCACACGCACATAAAGCAATTCATCAAAGTCACATTATACTTCTGTGCAATATTTCTGTTATCATACAACTTCATAGTACCTACAGCACAGCTGATAAATGAAGATTTCTATTTTTTATGACTGTGTTCCTTTGTTGTCTACTCCAATTCATTACTTAATTTTTTCCTTTTTCTGATTCTGTAACCATAAAGTATGGAGTTGAGATGCTGCTGTCAGACTGCTGCAAGCTGATGTGTCTTGTGAACTTTCTTTATAAATTTGGTGTCTCCTCAGTCTCCAATTTTGCAAGTGACCCAGTCTGGCAGAATCATTAAGCAGACCGTGAGGCAGGACTGCTCTCAGTTGCAGGAGCGGGTAACTCGTTTATTATTTTTTGGGGGGGAATTATCTCACTTTCTGTGCGTTGTATGTGCTTGGTGGTGGTGGCTGGGGAGAGGTTGGGGGGGGGGGGTATATCATGAAATAATTTGTACCCTTCTCTGCACTTATGATAGCTCTTGGTTACACTTCTACTGTTTTAATTTCACATTATTTTTTTTTCTTAATTTCCTTGTGTGTATGTGTGTGTGTTTCTCATTGTAACTTATGTCGTTCATGAGAGTCACTATTCACTGTAGGCAACTATATCAGCTTTTGTTTCAGTTCTGTGTGACTCTGATCATTTCTGAACATTGATAGTCTTTTAGTCTGGCCAAATAAAAAGGAAAATTGCTTTTCTACCTCTGAAATTTCTGTTAAGAGTGTATAGAGAGACTCAAGACTTAAGAATGATAATAAGTAAGTCATATGAAGTCTGAGATTTATATTTTTCCTCAACAGGGTTATTATTGAAAATAAAATTGATTTGGGGTACCAGTATCGTAGAAAGATTTGTTCTGGGTTTGTGTTTAGAACTGAAATTGGATAATGAATTTCTCCAAAAGCTTAACAAAAAACACTTTATACCTCCCTTACCATCATCATCATCACTCCTCCTCCTCCTCCTCCTCTTCCTCCTCATCATCATCATCATCATCATTAATGCCCTTTACCCCCAGCCACAGACAAACAATTTCCATCCTTTTCTGTCTTTGGCAAGCTTTCCTCACTGCCTTTGTGTCTAATCTTCAACACATCCTTCTCCTTTATACGTTTCCAAGTCTCGCGTGGCTTACCCATGCCTCTTGCTCCCTGAGGACTCCACTGTAGCGTTTGTATAGTGATGCTGTTTCTTAGCTTTTGAAGTGTGTCTAACCTGCACTGTACATGCAGTCCAATCTCATCTTCCACTGACCCCAGTCCAGTTTTTTTCCCAAATTTGTTTGTGGATTGATTTTCATCTTTCTCTGTCTGCTATGCCCCATGTCGACTTGCTGGCTTTGATCTGGTCAGACTGTGTTGACCATGATGTACAGCGAGGACCAGGACATGATGATCGTAGTTTCCGTATCCACGCCCGGTTGTGACAAGGTGGACAGACCGGTGGTCGGCTTCTACAATAACTGGACGGGTCAGCTGCTTCGACAGTTTGAGCTGGAAGAATCGCTGGAAGAGGTAAAGGAAGGAAAAGGATTGTATGCAAAAATAAGCTCTTTTTCTGGATAAAAAATTTTTTTGTGTGAAGGAGGGATGGGTGTGTTTTGAAAGGGGTGGAGTTTTGGAGGGGGGAAGGGGGGGTCTTGAATAAAAATAATTTGAATTATGTTGTCTTGATATTTGCTTCGTTGAAATATGAATATGAGGCATTGTCAGAGAAAGCCCTCTTGATATAATCTTATTTCTTTTGAATTGTTCTGTTCGCTAACCAAGTAGGGAGAGGTAAAAAAAAATGTTAAGTGCAGCTAAATGCTTTATCCTTCGTGTTGATCAAAATAGTAGCTCTACATTAAACTTCCAAACAAACCATTCTTAAATTAGTCAAATTTCAGCCCAAGTATTGTTTTTTTTTCTGTTTTCATCAATTCAAAGTGTAGCAAGCATGTCTACCTCTGAAAATGGTGGCAGCCTGTTATTGACAAGGATCTGTGTTTAGGTGTTGAAATCATTTAATTCACGGAGAGTTGCTTTTTTTTTTAGTGAATGTCAACAACCGGCTCCACGCGGTAACTTTTTTGTGTTTAATATTTCAAGAATGCGAGGAACCCTTGCAATTTTTTCTTATGCTACCTGCATGGCATTTTTTGTCTCTAAATTCTGGAAGTTGTTACAATGTTAAAGCATGTCTAAGGCAAAAGTCAGTCTGTTACTTGGTCTGGTCAAAGCTTTTCCATATATTCAAGTGTGGCTCTTACCTGAGGAAATAGAATTTCTTTATGTTGTCGAGAGGAAGCATACAGCATAGTTTTAATTTATTTGTTTTCAGTTTCTTCAATTTTGTTGTCTGCAACTTTACATTTCTCTGTGCACGTCAATAATGTTACTCATGTGTGTCTTCCTTGAATTTGTCTGCCTACATCGATAAGAACATGGTCGACCCTCTCAGCCTCATAAGCGTTTTTGGTATGACATTGGGATCAACAAGCTAACTTTGCTTCTTTCTCCTTTCTTTGTTCTTTTTCCTCTGTAAATTGTTAATGCCCCCCGCGGCGGTGCCACTGACTGAAGTGTCTTTAGGCCTTTCCCAAAGGAGGGACATTTCTCGTTCATGTACTGTAGAATTGTAAATGGGCTAATTCATCAAAGTCACTCTCATAACTGTGCCTGATCTACAACAGGGAACTGCTGCTTTTTCTTTCCTAATCCTTACTATCGTCATTTTTCCTCTACTTATTTTGTATGTTTGTCACTCTCCTATTTCCGGGGTGCCTTGATAGTCGAAGCACACTTTGTGCTGTTGAAGCTAGAGAGGTGAGCAGAGTAAGTCTGATTCCCTGTAAGGACTTCTCTGTTGACATCCACCCCTTGGCGCTCATATGACCTTATGCAGTTGCGAGAGCCGTAAAACTTCTACTGAAACTAAAACCGTCAATCTCATTCCACATTTAAGCAACTTTTAAAGCTTTGAGAAAATTGAAGAAAAAGAAACAACCCATATCAGAACACTGACTTGGACTTGTGTTATTTTTCAACCAAAAAAAAAAAGAAAAAGAAAACTAAACTGTATTGTAAGCTTCCCATTATTTGAATAAAAATTTTGTATTGAAGCTCCAGTTTGTTCCTTTTTCCCATCAAATATCTATTGTTCCGATCTCTCTTCATTTTTTTTTTTTACGTTACTCTCTAGTAATACTTCCAGTCTTCAACATATATATGAACTAATTGTGTTGCTAGTGCCTTAAAACTCATAGTAAAACTAAAACCCCTTTGAAAGTAATGTGATGTATTTCAGTTGTTTGTTTGTTTTCTGAATAGTCTTGTAGTATGGTATGCTGTTATAAGATTCTGTTAATCGGCATCTATGGTGAAAAGATTAAATGTCACCAGTTCAATATATCCGAAGGGGGGGGGGGGGGGGTTGTGACTTATCTTATCTTATCAAGTTTCTTTTTCTGCAAGGATTCTGCATCTTTTGCAGCCTAGGTTGGTCCTGAGCAACAGGACTGAAACAACTTGTCTTCTGTACATTTACAATTTTAAGTGTGGGTGTATTTGCGTGTGTGGGTGTGTGTCCTATGGTACACCAGTGTGAGCCAGATTTCAGCATGAATTTAACCGTTTCTTTTCTTTTCTTTTTTTTTCGGATTTTTTTTTCAGACTCAGGACAGATCAATCTGTTACCAGATGGATACCATAACACATGTGTTCAAGACTTACCAGCAGCGCTTTGAGTGTCATGTGTACAAGCTACTGCCGCTCAGCACACCTGGGGAGGAGTGGAAGGGGCGGGCCAAGGGAGGGACCCATAGGCGGAGCACCCCGCGCGTCTCAACTGACAGCTCAGAGGATGGAGAGTACTCACCTAGACGTCGACGTACCAGATAGCAGTAAAAGGCGATTAGGTTTTTCTGCATAGATCCCATCTTTCCTTTCTGTGAAAATTTGTACCAAAGTAAGTGCAGTGATGTCGACAAATTTGATACAGTAGTCTCCACCTAAACGCACGGTGCTCGGGAGGGCTCTTTAGCGTGTGTAATGATATGCACCATAAAATGTCAGGAACAGATAGCCTAAGAGGAAACTGTTGAGGATAGTTATAGAGACGACAACGCAGCCAGGTGGCTTTCCAAGCGACCACCCCCGACCACAACTTCATGGATGGCATCAGAATCATAGATCTCTACATTCAGAGAAACATTTCTCTTGTGATTTGTTGAACAACTACGTTATAAGTTCTTCGAGCGCAGCTGATTAGGCTTACTTGACTAATTTTTTACCCTATAGAGGCCTATCTAATGTTTTACAGCATTCACGCATGTTGCGCATCATAGACCTAGGTCTAACTAAACATTACACTCGGTCACCCAAACACCAGTCGGAAACCTTCTCTTAAAGATGCATTTCCAATGACAATAAAATCAAAACACTTTTCAATCCCCTAACATTTCACCAACCAGTCCTAGACCTATGTGTCTGTGGAAAGTTGGGTGTGAAAACGAATTCCGTCACTCTGTGCAGTCTCACCAAATATCTGGTTTTCTAGACTCGTCTTGTGCAAGTTGTGTAGGCTGCTGCAAAAATGTCCCCTTGTCAAGCTTTACTGTCGGCGTGTTTTGCGGATCGGATCATGAGTTTAGAGGGAGTGACCGTGCTTTGTATTTCTAAATTATATAGTAAAAATAAAAAACCCGTCACATGACGAAAGCATGCATTTGGGCGGAGCCTGCTTTTGTATGGCGTACGTTTTAGGTGGAGACTACTGTAGCAGTAATCGTTACCTCAGAATTACAAAGTTCTATTTGCCCCAGTACCTAGTTTTGATAAATTTGGCGTCAAAGATTTTCAGTTTCACATCATATCAAGCTTTTTCGGATGCAATACCGTAAACCGGGGTTACTTTAAAGGATTACCTCCCGTTTCACACTTATCGAGAGACCCTGCAGACAATCAAACAGCGCCACCAGCTACACCCGGTCTAAATCAATGACAGATGAGGGGAACTAACTAATGTATAAATCTCAAAGTCTCGAGGTATTTCAAATCAGAATTGTGCCCCTTTTTATTCTCTGTTCAAAGAAGCCCCGGCGCTGGGGCTACTTTGAATACTCAATATTATTACAGTAATAATTCAATCTCATGTTCAGAGAAACAATATTGATGACGAATACAGGACCTCACACAACGTGGAAACGATGATTGCCCTTAAATAACAAAAATGTGGTAAATTTGATACATTTTTAATAGCAAAAACATTTTAAAAAATTTTTTAAAAAGAACAAAGAGAAAAAATAAAATAAATAAAAACCAAAAGGAAAAATTATTCCTACTGTCTATCAAAAACACATAAAATGCCACCTAGATGGTAATGTTATCCCAAATGGCAAAAGTCACCAAGGAAAATGTCCTTCCCCAGTTCCGACTCAGCACAAGCTTCGTGGCACCATTGAAGACATTTGCTGCACTGAATCCAGTCTTCAGTCACAGGCTCAATGTAAGGTTCATCACAAATGAGGCAGGAGTACTCTTCACTATTGCTGATTGTTACAGGCTGAGCTTTAGCTTTCTTTTCCTTCTTTTACCTTTTCCCTTTGTTGACGCAGATGGTGGGCCCTGTTTTGTCTCGGATTCCCAGGACTAGTCTATCCCGGATATTTTCCTCTTTGTTTGGGAAATTGGCATGTTCTGCTAGTTCGTAGAGATTTCTGACATACTCCTCTGCACTCTCCCCTTGGTTTTGCTCACGCCTGAAAAACTGGGCTCTGACATGAATTACATTCCTCTGAGGAATGAAATACTCTGTAAACTTGTCTATCACTGTGACAAAGCTTTTCCTTTCTTCCTGAGTTAGAGAGAATGACTTATGAATTTTATCTGCATCTGGGCCCATCGAATACAACAATGCAGCCACCTGGACCTCCCCATCATCCTTGTACAGTTTAGACGCTAGTCTAAAATTCTGGAACCTGTCTTTCCAGCTGGGCAAAGCCGCTGGCTCTCTAAAATTGAATTCATTCGGTGGTTTGAACGACATGTCTAGGTCTAGATCTAGATTTCTCTAGGTCTAACTGTTAGCAAAAAGAGGAATGATAACAAAAAGGTTCAGAAATACCAGGGGTATATCCACTCTAGATCTAGATCTAATCTTGGTCAGTCTATCTAGGCTTTGTAGATTCTTGACCTACATTTAGTTCTAGTGATTAAAGGAGCGATATGGAAGGGAATGGGTGAAAAGTTGGGTACCCTGAGTTTGGATTGTTCTGCAAAGCAAAATATGGTTGTAGGCCTGTTTGAAAGCTATTTATGGACCAAACGCCAATTTTTCGTTTAATTTTGCGTACCCGAACTGATGGGTCACCCTTCGCCCCTGCGGGTGAGAGATAGAGTGATAGACAGATAGATAAAGAGAGGGATGGGGTGAGAGAGAGAGAGAGAATACTCAGTACCAGTAGTGGATGTAGTTGAACCACTGGCCTTCTGTTCGCTGGAATCACTGGATACAGGCTGGCTTGGCTCAGAAATTTCCACTTATTTGTCTTCAATCAACTGTTTCCCAGATGTGATCTGGGATATCAAAAACAATAGGCCTGCTCCCGTCATGTAGCACTTCTCTCTCACTCTCCATTTCACAGATATTCGCTGTAGCTGGTAATCTCACGTTGGTGGTGTACAGTGAATTGTAACTCAGTGAATTTTGACATGGAATGATGCAAACAGAATATTGCTGATCATTACTTTCTGCTGCTCTTCACAATGGCAAACAATGCTTAAATTAACAGCTTATACTTAATTACTTGATCGTGTGTCCCTTGGGCTATAAACTAGTATTTTAGTAAGCTTTATTCTATCACAGTTAGAAGAGATTTATTGCCCAACCTCATCAAAGCGGCCTCAAAATCTGTTTAGAAAAAGTCATAAAGTATAAAAATTCATGTGGACTAATGACCTTCTAGTCGGTTCCGAAATATCCTGGTGGTTCCCAAATATTCTGCCACTACAGTCAGGATTAATCGGAATGGTTCCCAAAAATCCTTCCACCAGGGCCAGGATGAATCAGAATGGTTCCCATCCGTCCGGTTCCGAAATATCCTGTGACACCTCCTTACGGTACTTTGAATATCTTTTGATAACAACTTCGAATAATCTTACGATTTTGATAGAGCAGAAATCAGATAGAACATTTGATTTCTTACCTCGTGGTCTTTGTAACTCAAAACAGCCCAAAATGTCCAATAGAACTTTGTAATTCTGAGGTAGGGGGTTGTACTAAATTTAATTTTTTTGTATAGATCTTGATGTTGATTCACCAGGCAGCATTCTTGAAAAATTGTATATTTTTGTTTTGATGGTGTCTCAGGGGACTTTTTTATAACACTGATGTAATGTTGTATTTTCCAATTGTAGTATCTAATAATTTGGATTTAGAGTGAACAAGGATTTCTCCCTGCCTGTCAAAAAGACTGACTTGATTGCAGACAGTGATGTACTTGTTGCAAGCCTCTGTACGCAGAGACTCTATTCCGCCCCATGGGCGGTGATACTGACTGAAGTGTCTTTAGGCCGTTCCTAAAGGGGGGGACATTAACATCTCGAGTTCTTATGCACAGTAGAATTGTAATTGTAAATGGGCTGATTCATCAATATCATGCTCAGAACTGTGCAGGGAATTCATGCTTTTTCTTTCCTAGTCCTTACTATCGTCATTTTCCTCAACTTCTTTTGTATGTTTGTCACACTCGTGTGACCTGTTATTTCCGGGGTGCCTTGATAGTCGAAGCAGACTTTGTGCTTTTGAAGGTTTGCAGAGTAAGACTGATTCCATATAAGGACATCTCTGTTGACATCCACCCCTTGGCGCTTATATGACCTTATGCAATTGCGAGCGCCGTAAAACCTCTACTAAAACTGAAACAAACAAAAACTAAAAGGTATTAAAATCCCAGACTCTATTTGAGCAACCTCTCTAAATGGTAAACCCAGATAAACCAATGAAAATGCGGCGATCCTTCTGATTTCAGTTTAACGGCCTCCTCTGTATTTTGATTTTTTTTTTTCAATTTGAAGAAAAGAGTACAGTGTACTTTCCAAGGTGATGCAGTGGCATGCGGTTAACTCACCTAGCATTCAGGTTCTTGTCAAGTCATTCCAAGCCTGTTTTTTCAATGTACACAAACATTGAGAGTTGTCAAATGAGCTCTCTAAAGTGTGTGTCCTTTTGTGTATGTGCATGTGTGTTTGTATGTATGTATGTTTAATAGTGTACACATATTATTCATGAAGGTATTGAAGAGGCAGCAAAAACTGTACAAAAAGTATTTTGTATTATATTGTATAAATATAATTTTTATACTATGTATAAATCCTTGTTTGTGGGTCTCCACTGTTTGCATTTACTGTGAAAATTGAAGCTGTAGTTTTGTTTCATGTGAATTTGATCTGAGCGTGTACTTACTTTCACTGTAATTATGACTGTCCAGAATTTCAGTTGTTCAAGGTATTTGAGAATGCATAATTCTGTGATTTATTGATTAACTGACAAGTTAAGAATGTATTAAAGTGGTGTGTATTGACAGACAGATTTGATGAGAATGTATTAAAAAGTTGTTTATTGACAGACAGATGTGGTGAGAATGCAAAAAAATTGTAGTGTATTGTGATTGACTGACAGTTGAAGAATGCAATTAAGTATATAAGTATAATTAAGTATATTAAGTTATATTGATATTGACAAGTTGAGAATGCAATAAATTACGATGTTGAATCTGCAGAGAGTAGGGATTTTTCTTATTCTTCCTTCACCGTTTCCTCTCACATCAGTGGCCATTACTCCTTCACAGATGGTATACTGGCTTCTGTGGTGTAGAGATCAGCCGCTTCATCGTTGTACCTAGAAGACACAAGTTCTATTCCCATGTGGGGACGTTTTTATAATTGAGGATCTTCAGCTGGCTGCACGGATGTTGTATCCCTCTCTGCTCAGGCTGGTCCTGACACCAGTTCGCCTCCAAAACAATGTAAATTGTGTCGATGGGGGCAGGGGGGCTTATAGCACCTACATCTACAAGTACAGGTGGTGATGAAAAGGCGCCACTTTTTTTGTCTTCCTTGTTGTTTGTTCTCCTTTTTTTATATCCTTCTGCCCCCCCAATAAGTTACCATTATTTGTGTGGATATGCAGCTCTTTGTTCAAATTTGCATTCGTGGGTGTTGGCGGATGCTCTGGCCATGTTTGCTCCTTCTTTTCTGTCCAACATCTTGATCTATCATCTTTGTCTTTCCTCCTTTTTTGTGTTTGTTTCTCTTTTGTAACACCTCTAATCTTTAACACCTAAAGGAAAGGGCGTTAATGTGTTGCAAGTGCTGCAAAACACTTGCTAAAACAAACGATTCAGATTCAAAACAATACCATAACAGGGAGACGAGTGAGACAGGCCTGAGATTTCTCTGATTGTCCAGATGCAATGACCTTGACCTTGTGTCTAGAACATTGACCGGGATGGGTGGTAGGCGGGTGCTCTGGTTCTGGTTTGCTTCTTCTTTCCTATCAAACATCTATTGTCTTTATCTCCCCTCCTTCTTTTTTTACTCTTGTAACACCTCTAATCTTCGGCACTTATCTGACCTTATTCTGTTGCAAGGGCCGTAAAACTCTTACTAAAACTAAGTTGACCGGGCTTTAGGGAGAACACCACGACCTGACTACTTGCATCTTGATTAAAAGAGGACCGGCGTCTGCAGTCATGTGTTGCAAAGGTTTGGCTCCTCGCCGTGGCAAGCAGTAGAAGTGAGTTCGACTCCTGTGTTGGGGATTGAATTGTAGATCTTCGTCCGTTTCCTGAAATGTTGTATCGCCAATGTCAAAAATTCCACAGTAACCTACACAGAAATCTGGGCCATGTCTTCGCTATAATTATAATTGTCAGACTGCATACCACCAACCGAGCTGTGGCGATGACTGTTGTCTCTCTTTTTCGAACCCTCCTTCCTCCTCCACGACATTGTACCGGCTTTACGCCCCTTACAACGCAGTAATGTTATTCAAGAGGCTTGCTATCGGATATTAAACGTCCATTTCCTATAAGATCGAGCCATATCAGAAATTTGGAGTAAAATTTGGTCCCACGCTGTGTCCATGGGAAAGGCACTAATATTGATACATTCACTGTGCTTTTCCCAAGAACACAGCGTTGAACCAAGTCAAGCAGAGCCTCGATTACGAGTCCGGCAACCTAAACATTAGACGCTCTCCCTCTCTCTTTCTCTCTCTCTCTCTCTCTCTCTCTCTCTCTCTCTCTGAGACTCTCTCTCTCTCTCTGAGACTCTCTCTGAGACTCTCTCTCTCTCTCTCTCTCTCTCTTTCTCTCTCTCTCTTTCTTTCTTTCTCTCTCTCTCTCTCTCTCTCTCTCTCTCTCTCTCGGCTTTGCCTTTAATGAGAAGTTATATAAGTTCATTTATAAAACAGACGCTTATTGGTCAAATATACCCGATCTGCTTGACCAAACTGCTTCACTTCTATCAGGTAGGCCTATCTTGGTCTTTCTGCTGGGAAGTTGTTAGGCCTATATTCCTCTCAGCAACTCGGATTGGCTCTGACAGTTATTGTTGTGTTGTGTTGTCACTGTCAAACATGTTTAAGGGATTTAACCCAATAACGCACTATAAGTCAGTGTCCAGTTGTCCTCGTCCATTATTCTTAGTGACCACCCGTAACTGTCGTGAGTTTTCTTTGTCCTTTCGTAGTGATCACCCTTGCCAGTGTTGTGAGCAGTATATAAGCACGAGACTATGTGGTCAGTGTCTCTTCCGAGCAGAACATGTGAACAAAGCATGTGCCACTTGTTAAGTATTAAAACTGCCTACCCCGACCAGATGTGCTTGTTGATGAATTTTATAGGTTGAAGGCCGCTTCTTAAACTTAAACGGTCTAAACTGTGTCTATGACGGCGTTCATACACGTACATTTTACTTATGGCTTTCAGCGTGACAACAAAAAACGAATTCCACAAGAAATATTAGACGACATATTGTAGCCTTTTGGTTGGCCCTAAGTAAAATGAACTCGATGCCCAAAATGGAAATTGTGCCCCTCATTCAACAAAAATCTTACCATCCTTAACTTGATCATAATATTTGAGGGAGTTGTTTTTTTTAAGTGTTTACTGGATACAAAGTCAAAGCGTCTACTTTTATCCACGGAATAGCTTCCTCTGTTTTTTAATTTTATTGAATATTTTGTCACTTTTTTACCGAGGAAGAAACCACTTTTGAAATGATGTTTTACCCAATAATAATAATAATAATAATAGATAGCATTTGTATAGCGCATATCCCCGCTCAGCAACAGGCTCTATGCGCTTTACACTATATTATTACCCCAGCAGACCATAGAACACTCCGAAACATTCTCAGCTTCCCGGGAAGCATACAGTGCGAGCAGCCGATTAAGCGCTCAAACACTAACAAACTGACAAGATCTTTCGCTGTCTAATACCCACACCCATTTTCCCCTAAAAATAAATATTAAAATATAACCCCTGTTGTGCTTACACACATCAAAAATCATAGCCAGCTGTTTCCGGAAGCAAACTAATCCTATAACAACATTAACACTTATAACACGCGCTTGACATTCACTCTCACAACGCAAACAATGACGACACTAACACAATATCAATGAAAGCAATTAAATTTGGAAATCACAACAAAACAAAAAATGGTGCATATCTTCGAATCTGTTCTACGCTTGCGCATAGCTGAGTGTCTTAGCCGCTCATTGGTTCATTTATAGCACGTGACCACGTTCCAGAAGCAAGGGATATGGCGCTCTCCGCCGCTGCCCTTCTTGCTGACCCACAACTTGGGTTCTGGCACCCTCGGGTTGTCTCTCTTGGCGGCGACCTTGGCCTGTCGATCTAACTCCTTGAGCATGTCCAAGATCTCCAGCCTGTTCCTCAGCGAGATGGAATTGGCGCCCTCTTCATTCTGTGGAGGAGAGGAAATCGGAAAAAAAAGTTTAATTACAATAAAAGTGTTGCTTTTTTCTACTCTTCATAATGGACTATAATTGTCTTATACTAAGTTATACCAGTGTCTGCGGTGGTGTTATGTTAAGGCTTTTTATTTTTAAAAAATTAATTTCACGCACGCATGAAATGTGAGCTCGATTTCCAAGTAAAGGTAGCTTTTTATCGAGTAGGTTGTCTCTGTCTGTTTGCTAGGATGTATCCCATTCAGCCAACGTTGGCCTCTATAGACTGCCCACCTCATATTACATTTAAAAAATAATATGAACCAGGGGCTTCAATTTAGATGCCCGTGAGCCAATTGAGGTCGGCAAGAAGGCATTAGTGGCGCTTTCTTGACATCAACGTTTAGTGTTCGTGCGGTCGGAACGTTTTTATTACGTGTATCTTTTTGCCGAGGTGTTGACCTGGCTTTTGGCTGCAAGGAGTAGGTAAGACAAGAATCGTCGATGTTTTTAACTTTCTTCATACATAAAACTTTTTTTTTCTAAATGAAATGCTTGATTCCTCCCATATTCACCAAGCGTCTACCCCCAGCGCCTCCCCACCCCCGGGTTATTTGTGTTTGAGACGCCTGATCAAAGTTGTTCTGTAGGCGGCGTAAACATAATCCACAATTGATCAGATACTTGAGTGCACTAAGAACAGTGGTAAAAGCAGAGACACAATCGGAACGACCCGGTTAAGATGAGAAAGTTTTAACGACATTGTGAAACGATTGCAAAGAGCATAAAAACAGACACACAAACACCCTCACACTGAGAAATAGACTGAGAAAGAGAGCAAATAGTGGGGGAACTAAAGAGGTGAGAAAGATCAGAGCAGGAGAGAGAGAGGGGGATATATATATATATATA